TCTGAATACATCCACTCTATGACCTTAGTTCCAGTATTTTCCTTAGAAAAAATTTCTCTGGAGATTCACTCAATATGATCTTTCTCCAAAATATATATAAAATCTACCTTGACTTTACTTATAGGTTGTCAATAAAAAACTCAAGAGGAAAACAAAGGGAATCATCTTAAATTTGTTTCTAGGTGGTGCTAGGAGTTAAAAAAAAAAATTCAAACAACCATAACAAAAAACTTTTTAAAAACCTAAAAAATAAAGTCTTGTTTCCATGAATAGGCACATGAAAAAAGATTAAGACTTTATATAATCTTTTCAGAAATAGATCGAAAAAGGAGTAACTCCCTAACAGAAAGCACGTGAGCAGTAATATAAGGTAGGGGTACACGAAGCATGGAAGTGTCTTTGACTTTTATTTGTAACTGAAGGGAACCTCAGAGATCATCCACTTCAACCTTCTCATTTTACAACTGAGAAAGCCAAAGACCTTGAGATGTAAAAATGACCTCCCCAATGTCACACAGACGACCCCAGCTCCCCCAAGTTTCTTTCTCCAACCTCTTGCCCAGATGACATAGGGCTGCACCACTCACTGAACTAAGGAAGATCCCCTTCTTCATGTCCATGGTTAGAGGACAAGCACCTAACTAATAACGCTGGCATGTCTAACTCAAGATAAATGAATTCCTTGCACTTCAAGGTAGAATCTGAGTTGATTTTCCCATAGAAAGATTGTACACAGTATTATAGGTATATCCAATATAATACTTGTACTAATTATTAACATAATTTTATAACTAGTATTATTGGCCTAATTCTATAACTGAGGTATATTATGGGTTAAATTTGGTGGCTGTCCGTGAATCTAACTACTAAGCATGCTTTTCTGAAACAGTAAATTCCAAGTTCTAAACCATTTGCAAGTTTTAAAATAAAATCAATCTCATGCTGTTAGGAACCGGCAATACACAGACTCAAAATTATAAACTGAATGTGATAAACTAAAAACATAAGATACCTCATTTTATAAATGCTCCATTCAGGAGTCATTTATTTTTAAAATTAGGTACTCAGGCACATTTAACACAGGATATAATTTACATACATCTTTTTATTATTATTTCACTGGAAAACTGTGGTTAAGTCAAGCCTTTGACTTAAGTCAAAAAGAACCAAACACATTTCTACATTCACCTAATTTAAGGAAAAAAGCACCTTTATGTACATTGTTCATGAAGTGACCTGTAAGAGGTAAAAGAAAGTTAACATTCCATAAAGGAGAGGATGATGGTATATACATTATAGAGTATTTAGCACTAGTTCAGATAAGCGGTGGGTGAAGGACCTGTATCTAAAAAAGTAAATGGAGTTCAAAGAACCTCCAAATACATTTTTCTCTTTTCTCTTGAGATAAAAAACTATGTCTCATGAATTAAAATGTATGATACATTTATTTTAAAAAATTTCCATGCAGCACATTAAATCAATGGATATTCTTCACTCATTCATTTTATTTATCCAACAACAAAAATCAAGCCCCTACTATTTGCTAAACATACACTAGCAAGTTTAGACTTATGACAATAAACAATCAGGTAAGCTCTTGCCTTCAAGGAGCCTAGGCAAACCTTGAGGTAACTGCATTTACCTTAGCGATCATGACAACTGGATTTCAGTTGGCTATTTAAGAAAAGATTTTTTAAGTAATCAAATTAATTCTAAAAAAAAACTATATAATTGTAATTTTAAAGACATTTGAATAGTTTTATGAAGTTTCCCTACAAAGTATCCAAAAGCACTGTTTTGGTAAAAGTTATATGATATTTTAATAGTTTCTACTATGAAAATTAACAGAGTTAATCCTCCAGTAAGGACATCAAAAGCTACTATCTATTGTAATAATGAAAATTAAGCACTTGGAAATGTTATCTTAAACTATTCCAAAAATAAAACAATATGTAATATAAAATTATACAATATTAATACAATCTGAATATATGGCTATTTACAAACCTGGATAATAAACAAAGCAGCTCCAAATCATACTGTACAAATGATCACAACTACGTATTTTGGACTGTGTCATCTGAAAATGTTTCATTATAAAAGTCTTTAATGTTTTCTGGATATTTATTTTTCACACATTTCATTATTCTACTTGCATATTACCAAGTCATGTGACTTTTTCCTCAATATTAACCATACCTATATTTGTAACTACATACAGGTATTAACTACAATACCTATTATTTTTGCAGTTATTAAAAGCTTGATGGATGAGAAACATTCAATTTAGAGCCATATGTTTCCAAGGCAAAATTCGATGTAAATTAGGCATTCTAACATGCCACAGAAAATTCTGATTTTTTTCATTGCATTTTACACTGAAATATTTACATCATTCATCATCTAAAATATTTAAATTTTCTTTAAAAGCACTGTGAAATCCTCTTTACTGAATTTATGCATTCAACTTAGTGTTGCATCTCCATTTACATGCAAGGAAACCAAGGCACAAATGTGTAAATCACAAGGTCATTTCCCACCCAAGCAACGGATCCTACACCACCAGTAATATATGTGCGCCAGTTCCAAGTGCCATAAAACAAGTACTGTGCCCTAAAACAACTGCCTCTGCAATGCCTGTGTGTGACTCCGTTTATTAGGAGGGTTGTGGCAACAAGCATAAACAAGAAAAGCTGGAAAGGGAGGATTAGCAAAAGAAAAACACTTTTGGTAATGAATCACTTATTTTTAAATGATGAGATGTAAACAATTTTTGACATTATAATCAAGTAACCAACAGTTGTTTCTTCCATTTTCAAAAATTATTTCATCTTTCAAAATTAGAGCCTTGGAGACAGAAGTTAGAAAAAGGAGAAGAAATTCTACGACAAGGAATTTAATACATGGCATCGCAAAGAAAGGAGCTAAATAAAAAGCAAAACTTAGATAAATTAGGGAATGCTCATTATGGCAGTTAAAACCCCACCTTAAATAGAAAATACTTCCTTTAACTGAAGGCTATCAGCAACAATCGAACATTCTGTGACTCTAAAATAATTACAAAACTTTTCTTATTGAAAACTTGAGAAAATTCATAGTAAGTACTTTATTCAAATATTCAACATAAATACACTTTTCCTAACATAAACTTAAAAGAGCGTAAGGAAAAAACTGTTCTTGAGAGTTCAAAGACCTTGCATTTGTAATTATGACGAAGAGCTAACAAACGATTAGAAAAATTAAAGTTACCTACCATACAAATTAAACAACATCAGACGGGCTGAATAACCAGGAAATCAACTGCATCAATTACAGGGCCGAAATAAGACTTAGCTAATAGGTGAATCTAAGACCTAAGGCAAAATTAAGTGATAATCCAGGGCACATGTACACAGACAGCGACAGCATGAGGCTGGGTGGTCTTAGAGCGCCTCGTCTAGCTGGGGATCGACTACTCGGCTCCGGGACAGGTCGGGCACGTCGGGTCGGAGGGCTGCTTCCCCGCCCGGATTCCGGTCCAGCACCGCGAGGGCGGACGGCGCCCGGGCGCCGAAGCTAGGGGGCACGCTGCAGCAAGGGGAAGGGGAACGGGAAAGGTGCAATGGATGCTGCAGAGGGGAAGCTTCATCTGGGCGGCACAATGGGCGAGCGCTGCCCACCCGGAGCCGAGCGAGCGGCTCCCCAACTGCTCCAGGCGGCCCCTCGCTACCCGGCTGCTCCGGCGAAGAAAGGGGTCCCGCGCTCGCCGCACCTCCGCCCGCACCCGGCGGCTGGGCGCAAACCCGCACACGCACGAGCCTCCTGAAGCCTCCGGCCCGCAGCGCGAGCGGCGGCTTTGCCGCCGCCACTTAGCGGAGCCCCGCAGCCTCCCCTGCCCACAGCGGCCGTGGGCAACCGGGAGCCAGGCGCGCCCGCCGGCCGCCGTCCCCCTCGGCCCATCTCGGGGGGCGGGTGGGCGGCCGGGAAGCCGGCGAGGCGGGGCGGGGGCGGCCCCTCCCTGCAGCCCCACGCGGCGGCCGCCGAGGGTCCCCCTCCAGCATCCCGTCCCCGGGCGACAGTCCCGAGGGACGCGCTCCCGGCAGCGCGGGGGCGGCTGCCTTACCCCTTCCTCATGCTCCGGCGGCGGCCGCCGGTCCCCTCAGCTCCCAGGGCTCCGCCCAGAGCCCCAGGGGCGGCAGGCTCCGGGGGGTGCCCGCTCCGGGCGGCGGCCGAGGCTCCGGGCTGCGGGGAACGCCGCCTGCGGCGCCCGCCGATCTCCGGACCGACCGCGCGCTCGACGCGCGAGCGAACAACACCGCGAGCCGCCGCCCCCACCGCCCCCTCCCCGCCCGCGACGCTCCACGGCCGGGCGCCGCGACCCGCGCCCGAAGCAGGGGGGACGGCGGACGCCAGTTGCCTCGTCTCCCACCATGCCCACCGGGAGCCGCTCCCAGCCAGCGCAGGTCTCCCAGGCTAAGCGTCTCCCTGCGCTCCCGCGCTCTCGGTGCCCAGATGCAGCCGGGCGGCCGACGCAGCCCCCGCCCACTCATCCGTCGGAGAAGGAATGCGCTCTCCCCCTTCTCCTGCGGCTTATGGTAGTGCCCGGTCTTCAATTTGGGGGAGGGGGCCGGAGAGAACGATGCTTGTCCCCGGAGTGAGGGAGGGGACAGCCAATTGAGCGAGCCAGCCGCTCGGGGGCGTGGCCCACGGGAGGCCCGCCCCGCCCCCCGCTCCAAACTACAAGTCCCACTGTGCCTCGCCCAGTCCCGCCGCGTTGCACGCCGGGAGTGTGGCCTCGAAGCTTCAAGTATCTTCGGAACTCGTAGTCTCGAATTGCGCCATAAAGGTCCTGAAAGTTGTAAGCTGTTATGATTCTGTGTCCCTAGTAAATATTCCAAATTCTCAGCTCTGTTGTACGTATTCTAATTCGAATTAACTGAGTGTTTTAAAATGTCACAAGGCATTTAGTTGTTTTTTTAGAAAGGAAGAAAATAACCTATCTCCTGGTGATCTGTCAGGACCTGGGAGTCGCTCCTTCCGCCCGGGCCTGGTCGCCGCGGAGGACTGTTGCCGTCATGTCGGCCGCGATCGCGTCGCTGGCTGCTTCCTACGGTTCGGGCTCAGGGTCCGAGTCGGACTCGGACAGTGAGGGCGGACGGTGCTCGCTGCCGGCCGCCGACGCCCTCATGCACCTGTCCCAGTCGCCGTCGGCCAAGCCCGCTCTGGCGGTGGCGGTGGACGCGGCCCCGGAGGTGGCGGTCAAGGTAAGCGCGCAGCCGTGGCGGGGCGGGCGGGTGCCTCCTTCGCCGGCGCCGAGCAGCGGCGGCAGCGAGGGTCCGACGGCGCTGCCCGGCTCCGCCCGCGCCGCCGGCCAGCGGGGACAGGTGGGGAGCGGGGACACCTGCGCCGCTATTCGGGTGCGGCCCGGAGCGGGCGGCGGCGCAGACCGCAGGGCCGACTCGGGACCCCCCGGGCGAGCGGCGCCGGCTTGGGCTTGTGCGGAGGCGGGACGAGGCTGCGGCCCCGGCCCCGCTGTGAACGTGTGCCGGGCGCCCGCCGCCCGCCGCCGCCGCTCCTCTGCGCGGAGGCCGCCCCAAAAGGCTCGTGTACCCGGGAGGACCGTTGCGAAGGTGAAGTGAAGCGCTGCAGACCTGGGAGCCCAGGGCCGGGTTCCGATGCAAGTGCCCCGACTTGTGAAAGCGCTCGTGATGACGCTGCGCCAGTGTAGCGAGAAGGGGCCTTGGATTTAAGAAACTGCGTGATCCCAGCCGAGGAAGGGGATGGAGGGAGGAATTGGGTTATACAGTTCATTTAGCAAATGTTTATTGAACACGTTATATGCCGGGAACTGTTCCAAGGGCTGAAGACACGGAGGCCAAAAGCCAGACATCTGCGTGCAGGGAGCAGACATTCTGGTGCAACGGGCAGCCGCGAGGATGTGCGCAGGGGAAGTGGGTACCGATCGGATTGAGTGCCTTGGAGGACAGTGAAGTTCTGTGATGGGGAGTAAGGCTGGAGTATGACTCGGCCGGGAAGGCCTCTCTGAAAAAGCAGCCTTGTGGTACGCTAGGTGCGGCAGGCGTGTCCAGGTGAAGGAGACCGAGGCCTCGAGGTGGCCAAGAGCTTGGTGGGTGTGTCTAGAGGCGGGGAGAGCAGCCCGCAGTCGGCAGTCCAGGCCCATTAGAGCCCGATGGGGGTGATCAGGAGCTCAAATGTGGGGAGAGTGCAAAAATGCCCTCGCATTGAAGATGCTCCCGAGTCTAGTGTTATATAACTGAAGTCGTTTACAGGTTTTTAGTGACTTGTTTATGAATTTTAGTCTTTACTAATGGACATCTGAAATGAAAGAATACTTAGAATCCGCCTACCGTTTTAACAGAACAAACTCCCCGAACTTCCACCCCTCTGGCCACCTCCTGAATCTTCATTCTTTTTCCAGCTCAGCGCTTTAGAGCTCTTACACTTTACTCATTTTCTCAGCCCAGTGCAGCCCAGCCCCAGCTTCCTGGGGACACTTACTCTCCCAGGCCTTCCAGGCTCCAGGTTCTGCCCTTGACTTGAACGTCAGGCTCCCATGGTTCCTCCGTGTGACTTTCCCTTTGGCTTCCGATTGCCGTCCACCCGCCATTCCTCTGCCCTCCCTTTCAGCGTTGGTGTTTCCTGGGCCTCTGCCCTCAGTCCCCGTTGTGCCCTCATGCCCGCCCCTGCCCTCGGCCTCAGGGTGTGCTTCTGATGACTCTGGGGTGAGCACCGGGGAGCGGTTCCCACGGGTTCTGGAGTCAAGACTGCCAGAACTCAGACCCTGCCTCGGGCGCCTGCTGTGCGCCCGAGTTCCCTCATCTGTAAAGTAGGGACAGCACTGGTACCCAGCTTTGAGTAGACTTAGAAATATTTAAGTTGTTCAGACAGGATTAAGTTGATATTTTGAAAGGAAGAAATTTTTGTTATGCATTCTAACCTCTATAGCCTTGTACATGACTTTTATTAGACTTCGATTATTAGAATTATTTATCTCGTGTCACTAGTGTAATAATCATAAAATTAGTATTAAAAGGGCTCGTCAGACCTTAATATAGCCTCTAAAATAGTTACTTGTCAGCTCTCTAATGTTCATTTGGTTTTCTTTTAGGAAGACTTGGAGACCGGAGTTCACCTGGATCCTGCAGTCAAGGAGGTCCAGTATAATCCCACCTATGAGACAATGTTTGCTCCTGAGGTGAGAAAACGTTATATTTAAGATTCTGCTTTTTGCTGAAGTATTTAAATTATGCAGAGACAAATAAACGAAGAGTTTTTGAAAGTTTCCTCACAAAAGTATATATACTATTTAACTTTAAAAAATATATATCCCGTTATATGTCAATTATATATCAAAAAAAGAAAATACATCCTTCTATTCTCCAAAAGTTTAAATCATTTATATGCTTTTGTGAGAATACTTTAAGAAATCCACTGATGCTTATTTGCCAAAATAAAACTATCCGGTAGCATGGAACTGTGTCTTGAAAAAGGAAATCATAAAATATCTGATTCTTATATGTGAACTTAGTTAACATCGTGCTCGTGGCATTGATAAGGGACTATTACAAATTAACTGTAAGGGGAAAAAGATTTGGTTTATTAGCATCATCAGTGCACAGTATATTATGAAACATCTAGTTTCAAATGTTCCCGTGCTAAACTCCAAAAAGAGGTGCATACTGACGTGGCCGCCGCTCTGATGTAGGCAGGGTTCGTCGCCCACTCTGAGGAGCACGTCTCATGGATTCCTTCTTCTCGTGATGACAAATGGTAATGGAGGCATTAAAAGGAGATGAGGAAGAAAAAATAACCAGGAACAGTGAAAATTACCCATTTAGGAGAGTCTGTAGAAAAGATTAAATTTCTAGATATTTTGCCTTTAAAGGAGGGAAAGAATGTTTGATTGACAATATAGAGATGCCAAAAAATGGTCATTATTAAACCAAAAAAGGCAACTTCAGAAGCAGGATCTTGGAAAAGCACTTTAAAGATGCATCTTGGTGGAGAAAGAGGTGCTTTTTAATATTTTTCATATTTTAGCAGATAGTCATTGTCCTATTTTCAATAAAGCAGAGTCATACAGCTCTTTGATATAACTTGTCTGCTTAGGTTTCTGTAGTCACTTAAAAAATGCCAGTTGAGATGCGTAGCGCGGCGTACCGTGTGTGTAGACAGCTCTAGCCGTTCTTGGGTGTGCAGTGAGTGGGCAGAAACCTCATTCTCATGCTCTAGGACCGTGGCACATCTTAAAGTTTATTCCATTATTTGTTAAATCCTTCTAGCCTGTCGAACTACAAGCCATCTCATATCCCTTGACACTATTTCAGCTGACACATTAAAGAGAGGTTGTATATTACATATATGCTTCATGATTTTTAAATGTAAAAGTACCCCAGTAAAATAGGTCTGCTGAATTCAGAAAATGAGAAGGTTTGAAGTGGTGAGGTCTACGATGTTCCTGTTATATATATATATATATTATCGGCATTGAGACTAGGAAAGCTTTTATGAGGAAAGATTCCAGGTGGAAAAGAACAGCTTGAGGGAAATCGTAGACGACCCAAAGAGCAGGATGCCCTGGCCGTTGCCGGTAGGGACACGGAGGTGAGACTCCAGTGGCGGTTTGGTACCACTGTGCAGGCTTTGGGGGCCAAAGCAAAGCGTTTGGTCTTGATTTCCCAGATGACAGGGTTCTCAGGTCCTGTGGTGGGGCAGTGGCATAGTCAAAGCTGAGTTTTCAGGAGGGGTGAGGAAGGGCTTACAGGGAGGTCAGGAACAGGAATAGGCGTGATGGACTGAAGCCGCCTTTACTGCTGTGTGCCCGGTGCCATGCTGAGGGGTTCGTGTGTCCACGCACTCCAGCGTCTCCTAAATCTCCTTTAGCGCCCACTGCAGCCCTGTGAAGTGAGCCCTCGCACCCCACGTTGAAGCGGGGAATCCAGTCAGGTGACACTGCCAGCAGGTGACGTCATTTGGGGCTTCAAGTCGGTACCACTCCTAGCAGCTGCCCTGTAGCCGGAAGACCAACTGGAAGGCCGTGGTGCAGCTCCCAGGGTGCGCCCTTAGGCCGTTGGCTTTGCTGGGTCAGTCCGCTGACCCACTGGGCTATTTCATTTTATCAAATGCTGTCCCTCCCTCCCGACCGAGCTCCTCTCCTAACCGTCTACCTCACTGTCCAGATAAGCTTCCTTGAAGTACAGGTGGAACCTGACGACCTAATGGCTATTCTTCTTCACTTTGTTTTCTTCATTTCACTCAAATCTTTGGGTCTAGTTAGAGAAAAGTGTATTTGTTAGCTTCTCTAGATTCATATAAAACCCATAAGCCTCAGGAAGCTTTTCAGACTTAAAATAATAGTACTTTTAGGAATAGAAAACATATAAAAGTTGAGGGAAAAAATTCCAGGAACTGTTAAAAATCTGGCAGTAAGGGCTACTATAAATATTGTTAGAATGAGTGAACCTTAGAAATTATGTAGCTCAGCTCTTTTATAGATGAGGCAACTGAGGCCCCAGGTCGCAGAACCGGAACTGCTGAAATACTAGTTTACTATTTAAACTGTGCTTGTGTCCTGTAAGATTGAGGTGTGACGATAAAGTGAATTGTGGTGATCTTTTCCAACTTTGCAGAAAATAATTAAGAGAATCAAGAGACTCTTCTCACCTTAACCTTTGTATATAAATGTTTAAGCTCTGATAACTACAATAAATATTAATGAAAAACGTACCAGCAATCAAAGTGTAATTATTAGTTCAGTAACTTGTTTGTTTTCTTACATGAACTTATGGTTATGATATCATATTGTCAGTTTGTACGTACAAATTTTAATTGCTATGATGTCACGATATACTGTAAGACATCAACTGTCACCCTCTACCTACTGAAGACTTTTGAGAACTACTGCCTTATAATTTGCAGATCGCTTAGATTTTTCATCCAGTGTCTTAACAAATTAAAAATGCTTTTCTTCCAACTTCATAAATAAGTCACTTCACTGAGGTGAAAGATGTAAAGATACTTAGCTGCCTTGGAAACATTTTGGGGGTAGTAGTGATCTTAATTAATGTGCAAACATGTTTGTTTATATGAGAGATTACAACTGACTATGGTGTGCTTGGGTGTTGTCTTAGCTAAAAACTATTAAATGTTGATACGTAATTAACTTGAATATGTATTTTCCAAGTTCACTTGAATACAAATTTATTCTTAATTACAAAAAGTTTAAAAGAAGTATTTGGAAATCAGTTTTCTGTGTTTTTTATATGCTTTGTTTTGTTTTTTAATGGTTAACCCAGAATTAAAAGAGATGAATATTCACAGACCAGGAACATCTAGGAGATATTTTTTGAGTGGGAAGAGCCGAGTTCTGCTGACTAATATTCTCTGCCTTTCTTGCTGGCATTAAATGTCTCTGAGGGCAGCTTTAATAGCTGCCAGTAAGCAGGCAGCTGAGGTGGGCCAGAAGTAGACGGATCTTCCACTACACAGCTTTCTACATCATTTAGAAGGTTTTGTTGTCTCAGCTTAAATATCTATAGAACATAAGCACTTTTAAATCTTTAGACTGTGTTAAGTATAGCACCACATATAAGATAACACTCTGAGCTATAATATACAGATCAGTATTCATGTAGAAACCAATTCTTTAATTCTGAAAGTTTTTCTTTAAAAGATGAAGCTGGTTTGATATATATGACCTTTAAGAAGAATTGCTCTTTTTGTAAAATCTTAATAAAATAAGACTATGGAAAAGGTAGTTTCCTTTTTTAAATTGGAAAGTATAAACCTAATGATTGCTTGTTCGTTATGCTTCAGAAGACCGGAGACTGACGAGAATTAGGCTTGAGATGGATTAATGATTGTGCCTTGAGCATTGACCCCTTTATACAGAATGTTATTGTTGTTAACAACCATTTGATCAATAAATATGAGAGATGCCCTCTCAAAAAGAAAAAAAAAAAACCTAATGATTGTTAGTTTATTATGTGTAATAGGATAACAATAAAGACATGGGTTTTTTTAATCCTTTTAGATCTCCTGCCCCCCAGAAATACCAGATGCTGCTTTGTGAATGACAGCTGACAGACTAGAGCAACTGGAGCATCTAGGAGACTTTTAAATTACTATCCTTAATTTTATGGGTGTCCATTATGTTTATAATAAACCTCGTGGCTGAATGAAGTCACCCGTAACTGCCGGCAGTCAGTACTCTAGAATTTTTTTCTCCCCTACGTTCCCAACCATCAGCCCAGGAAGAATTAACATGGGCTGCAGAGTCTTGCACTATGTCCTTTATTATAACCTAGAATAAATAATGGAAGTTTTATATCTAAATCAGACATTTTAAAATTGAATCATTTCAAACAGAAATGAAAGCTATCAGTATGAAGGAATAGTGTAGTGGTTTATTTTCTTCTAAAGCAGGAAAAGTCATAAGGCAAATCTAGCATTTAAATTGAGAGTTTCTTGCGTAGTATAATGGTGATATCTAGAGAAGGCAGCATTCTGTTTAATAAGAGAAGGTCAGTATTTATGTTTATGGTCTGGAAGTGTGTCATAGAAAAGGTGGTTTCTGACGGTAGTGACCCAAGATGTTCTGATGTCAATTATTTCATCATGACAGTAGAACTTCCAGAGTTCAAATAGAAATATCCTAATTCCACTATTTCCAAAGTGAGAGGTTCATTTTATTCTTTCTTTTAAAACCCTGGTGAGTTCCTGATTAGTACAGGCCAGGCACTATGTAACTGTTGGATTCTGAGTACACCTTACGGAACTCACTGTCCAGTGGAGGAGAAGCATGTATTTTTTTGAAAAAATTATGTGCCGTTATGGATATAAAGTAACCAGAAATCCCCCAGTCAAGGTTTAGATGAAACCCTAATAACCCCCAGTCACCGACAGCAGGTGCCGAGCAGAGCTCCCAGCACTGGCGGAGGCGGGGCAGCCAGCAGCCGCACGGGGCTGCGGGACTCCTGAAGTGTGGCTGGTGTGACCGAGGCACTGCGTCGCTCGCTCTGATTGATTAGGTCCGAGAATCCGCACCTGTGCTCGGGTGAGCTGGTTCTCCTGCTGCCCATGGGGGGCTGAAGGACAGCTCATCGGCCGCTGCCCAGATGCACTGACCATGTGAGAGGAGCGCGTTCCCAAAGAGGGTCCTTGCGCTGATGACTTAGAGCTGCAAATACATTGTACGAAGATCTAGTTATTAGCTTTCTGCGCTCAGAATTTGAGTTTTTCTTTTTTTCTTCTGATAACATTGCAGTTTGGACCAGAAAATCCCTTTAGGACGCAGCAGATGGCTGCCCCTAGAAATATGCTTTCTGGATATGCTGAACCAGCTCATATCAATGATTTTATGTTTGAACAGCAAAGAAGAACTTTTGCCACATACGGTAAGGTGATAAAACTTAGTTTCAAGTTTGACCTTATTAGAAGTGATCTTTGTGTGTGTGAAAATCTATTTTACCTTCTTGCTTTTTAAATTTAGCAATCTGGATTCCTTCAAAATGAGTGGTGTGTTTCCTTGTTCTTTCTTTTTCTTCTTTTTGAGTTGCACCAATCATTTCTATTTTTCTTTTTCAGAATAATCACAGCCTGTCAAAGTTAAACAATTAAAGTTAAACTAAGGAGATGAGTTTGTAGGGCTTTTTTAAAATTGAAATATAATTGATATACAATCTTAAGGTTGTTTTCATGTGAATGCAGTGGTTCACCAGTCACCCACAATATGTAATCCTCACCCCCACTAGTTCGGTTACAATCTGTCAACATAGGAAGATGTTACAGAATCACTGACTGTATTCTCCATGCTGTACTACTATCCCCATGACCAACTTATGTCATGATTGAGGATTTTTGTGTCCCTTGATCATCCTCCCCCTCCCCACCCACCCATCCCAACCCCTCCCCCATGGTTACTACCAGTCTCATCTCAGTGTCTGTGAGTCTGCTGCTATTTTGTTCATTTTATTTTGTTTTGTTTTTAGATTCCACAAGTAAGTGAAATCATATGATGTGTGTCTTTCTCTGCCTGGCTTATTTCACTGAGCATAATATCCTCTAGGTCTACCCATGTTTTTGCAAGTGACAGGATTTCTTTTTTATGGCTGAGTAATATTCCATTGTGTATATGTATCACATCTTCATAAATTTATCTATTGGTGGACACTCTGATTGCTTCCATATCTTGACTATTGTAAATAATGTGATGATAAGCTAGAGGTGCATATATCTTTTTGAATCAGGGATTTTGTTTTCTTTGGATAAATTCCTAGAATTGAAATTATTGGGTCATATGGTATTTCTATTTTTACTTTTTGAGAAACCTCCCTCATATTGCTTTCCACAGTGGCTGCACCAATTGACATTCCCACCAACAGTGTAGGAGGGCAGGTAATGTGTTTTCTTATACACATCTATAAATACTTACACAGATGGGAAGGTGAACTACTATTTTAGCTGTCATTCTAAATCTGCTATGATTTTTAAGTACTAGAAATATTCTGTGGTCTTAAAAACAGAATATTCTCTGTTGTACTTGGTAATGAATGCTTGTTATTGATGGTTCATTATATGGAAGTTGCTGTAGAAGTTGATAAATGACAGGATAGTGTTGAGGTTACATTGTCTATCTTCTTACACTGGTTGATTTTACTTTGTTTCTCAAATCTTACCTCTGAAATATTCTTGTTGATCACTCAGGGGCATCAGGAAATAGAATGGCCACAAATTCGTTGTGTAAATTCATTACATCCTATCAGTGGTGGGGTTTCAGAAAGTTAATGCGCATACAAGATCGGGAATCCCCTCTGAAAGAAGGTGGTCTTCATAATGTGCTTGTTGGTGGTTCCCAGATCACGGGTCCTGGTCGTTTGTACCGGGTTTGCCCATGTGTGGCGCTGACTTGCCCACTGGTCTCTAGTCCACATGCCCACTGACTAACACTCATCACCAGCTGTGAAGAGCTCAGGTGGGGCAGGCGAGCGAAGTATGTTTCTATGCCTGTCCTAGTCGTGGTCTTTATGAGTGAGTCACTTATGCTGATGTTTCTTTCCCAAAAGAGCAATTGATAAAGAAAACTTTGATAGTCACGTTTTTAGACATCAGCAACATTGTCTCTTTTTTCTTTAGTCTTCTTTGCAGTTACAATTCTAACAGCTCCCCCTTCTGTTCTTATAGTGGAGGTCTTTCTAAGTTCTGAACAAATTCTTCTGTCCTGTCTACAATTAACTTCCATTATCATGAGGTAGGATTTTTTAAAAAGGTAAAGGAAACAGCATCATGCGAAATATGTATTCAGTGATGCTTTTTAATGACAGTTATTTTCATTAAAAATAATGTAAACAAATTTTTAACATTCAGAGAAGAAAAGCTTACCTATAATCCCACTATACTAAAATACCTACTCTTAGATTATGGTCTTTATCTCTCCAAGTCTGTTAGGTATGCATATTTGTGTTACAGAGCTGTAGTCATTCTGTACTGAAAATTATGTATCTCACTATTTTATTTAGTGCCCTATCATAAGCATTTTTCAGTGTTACTTTATAAATCTCAAAGCTTATCATTCTTAAGAGCTCCATAGTGTCCACTGTTTGCCTATATCATAATTTACATAATTATTCTAATGTTGGAAAGTTAATTTTTTCTAATTTTTAGTGAGTGATGCAAACTGATTTAGTATAAATTAGTTCAGAGGTTTAGTACAGATAGTCTTAGTTTATTTATGACATATTCTTGGGAACTGGTTGTACAACAGTTGTCTGATATTGGGTCATATTTCACCATGACAGGGTTAGAGTTGACTCTGTGCCGAGAGTCACCGCTCAGACTGGACACCTCCAAAACTATCTGAATGGGCCAGTGACGCTTCCGGTCCAGTAAAATGGTCATAAATGATGATACCCATGGCGTGAAAAAGGGATCACATTAGAAATGAAGCATATATGCAGCTCATAAAAGGTCTGCTCCACTCAGCCTGAATTCATTACATTATAGCCTATAGTAAAAGACTTTTAAAGACCTTGCTTGTGTTCTTAGACTTTAGAAAGGTCTTAAGCAGTAAGAGATAGCTTAAGTCTCCTTTAATGTAAAACACAACAAAAAAATCCAATCACGTTAGTACTGATAACTACTTTCCCTCTTAAATTATAGCAAGAGTAAGTGTTTAAAACTATTCAGTTTTGGTTTTAGAACTGAGTTTGTAAATCAGGCTTTTTTTAAACAGCTGGGCTTTTCCCTCCCCTGTTAGGAGGTGGTGGGCTAGGACAGAGGTTGAAGGCATAAAAGAGGACTATGGCACTGCCCTGTGTCAGGCAGCCTGGAATCCAGCAGCCAGTTGCAAGACCAGGATAATTCTGGTCTGTCTCCTTTGTGATAGATAATCTTAGAACTGAGAACAATTTGTTTGCACTCAAATTAATGAGCTAGCCAACCTCGGGTCCAGCAGTCTCTTTTTTTCTTTACCCCCAGGTACTAAGCAAATAGCTTTCGTTAACCCTCGCTAACAAGAAAGTTCTTGTCTGACTTTGGGCAGTGACTCCTGTCCACTCTTCTGTCGTGAGTGACCCGTCAGCCCGTCTCCTTCCCAAAGCGCCCGGGCAGCAGGCCTGCCTCGCCTCTCTGCTGCGCTGCCTCGCGTCGGGGAGAGGAGGCCCTGCACCCAGCTTCACGCGAACTGCCATACTCGTCGCTGCGTGGCCGCCGGGATGCAGAACACACGCCGATCCTACTTTTCTTCCCATTTTTAGATAGTTGTAGCGACGTTAGAATCTAAGCGTAGCATTTCTGGAGAATTCCTGTGTGTGGCAGCTTCAGCCCGTCGCAGCGCCGGCGTGCGGAGCCCCTGCCGTGGGGACCGCCCCCCGCGCCTCCCGTTCACCGACTCGGCGGCCGGGCGCCCCGCCCGCAGTCGCCGTGCTTGGCCGCCCGTCTCGGTGGCCTGCTGGGCGCTCTGCCCTGGTCTCCCCGCGGCCTCGTCCCCGGCTGCCCCGGTTCGCGCTTCTCAGGGAGCTTTCTTCTCTTCCTCTTGTTATTTTGCCCAGAATTTTCTCTATTCCAGTTTGTGGGGGTTTAAAATAGAATTTAAAACAAACACGTTAGTTTCACTATAGTTGTTATTAATGGGGTTTTGACTTCAGTATTAGAAACTCTTTATCAACCACTTTAAAATGATTTTTTAAAATACTCTCCTGAAGATGTCGTCATCATGTTAGCATTCCTTGTGTCTTGGATTTCAGATTGGCTCTGGTTCTCACTATTTAAAATGTGTGTATATATATATATATATATATGTTAAACTGCGGTAAAATGCTTTTTGCAAAGTGGTAGTGAGTATCTTTGGGCATAAAACTTCATGGGTTGTTGTTTTTTTTTCATTACTTTCTTAAGGTGAATTCCTAGAAGTAGGTCTAAGAATATAAGTGTTTTTAGAACTTTTGTCACATGTTGTCACATTGCTTTCCAAAAGAACTCTCTCAGCTTACACTGCCACCACCACATACGAAAGTCCTGGATCCATATGATCAGTTTTCCTCTGTTTTTTTGATAAAATACTGTACCTCTTTATTTTAATTTTATTATTTTGGACTACTAGTGGGGCTGAAAGCTTTTCCATGTTTGTGACTGTTCTTTTGCAAATTGCTTATAGTCTCATCTCATTTATCTACTGGGATATTAGTGTTAATAATCTTAAGGACCTAATTAGAAAGTTGATACAGAGCCATGACAAATAAGACTAAAAAGAAATAAAGTAGACATTAACTCCATTAAAAAGATAAAATGGGAAATAAGCTTCAGAAAGCTAGATGAGATAATTTCAGAACTAAAATGCATATCTATTGACTTACCTGAGATGTAGGATAGTAGGAAACTAAGTGGACTGGAATTCTGAGGTGTGTCTTGTTCTGTCATTGTCTGACTTCAGTAGGGCATAGAGCTCAATGTTAACTTCTTTAACTTTGTAAAGGGAAAAAGTGCTGTTACCCCCTAGCTACCCAGGGTGGGGCCAGCAGTGGTAATGGTGACAGTGACAGGAGAGATTTCACCACCAAGGATGCGGGAAGGAAGACGGCACTAGCTCCTCTCCTCAGAAACAAGGCTGGCTGGCAGGCCGGACTGGGTGTGGTGCTGACCGGGGTCCCCCTCCCTTCCCTCCCCACGCCCCACTCCATCGCTCCGCACACACAATGCAACACCATTTATATAGCTATAAATCACCTTCCAGATGGAGGTACATTCTGCATACATTTTTGGGGTAAGATGGGGATCTTTAACTTAGGGTATGTTGGTTTCAGTTTTGTATGAGCCTTATAAGAACTCTCAAAAGATCCTTTACAGAAAACTATTCTGTACATCAGAGGTGAAAAATAAAAGTAACTCATGGGATTCGAACCTGTGATCTCAGAGACCTTAGTCCAAAGCTGCCTTTCAGTGATCAAGCTCCCTTGTGACAAGTAACGTGATTTAATACTGGAAACACCTATATGCAAGGGAGCTAATAGCCAGTAGGTGGTTTCTCTGTAGCGTTTCATGAGGATGAGCTGTGCGTCTACATCTTCAGCTTGTTTAAAAAGTATGTTTTGTGACAAGTCTTTTTCTGTTCCCCAAAAGAAGTTCCCATTAGTCTTTAGCTAGAAAATTAAAATGTTAACTATATCCACCAGGATGTACCCTTTGAAAAAATGGGCTAGTACTTTTCTATATTCTGTGATTGCTCATGTGGGTCATAGGCCATAGACCGATTAATGAACTAGCTATCTTTTGTGAATATCCTGAAGTATTACTAAAACCGACTTTACCGAACATTTACCAGGCTGGCACTCCCACTTGAGGAAGAACTGATTTAAGTTAATACAGACTTTCTTTCCTTGAGCCCCCCCAAATAGGCCACTGAGCCCTCGTTCTGTGTAGCTGCAGCTGCTGTCACTGGTTGAAGGAGTGTATGTATGTGCTAGTAGGTATCAGTCAGTTCTTGTACCAAGGAGATAGTGGCATATGAAGTAGAAATAAGTCATTTTAAAATCAGGAGGGAAGACTGTCTTTACTGAGAAAGGTACTTTCAAAATAATAGTAGCTACATTTTAATATAATTTACTCTCTTTTTCTTATTATTTATTTACATAATTGATAAATTATAATTTGATATTGCCATGTATTATCTCTTACCAAAAAGAAAAGTTTTTAAACTTCCAAATGTGTAATGTACATACATTTTTAAGCTCTTAGAAAATTTAAGACTAAAATGTGATACCTTGGCCACAGAGTCTCTTATATGTAATGTCAACACACTGGATTAATCCTGTAAGACACGTCTAATTCTGCTGAAATCCTTCATGGTCCAGCTTGGGAGCTGGGTTAATTGTTCTAAATAGAAACATAACTCAGGAAAGAAGGATTGGTCCTAAATTAAAGAAACACTTTCAACATCTGGGAAGGAAAATATGAAATGAATATATTTATATAATAAAATGTAAGTGGCAGAAATAGAGTCACTAATATGTACTTTTTTCCTTCCAGGTTATGCATTAGACCCTTCGTTAGATAATCATCAGGTGTCTACTAAATATATTGGTTCTGTAGAGGAAGCTGAAAAAAATCAAGGTAATTTATTTGAAATACTTAATATCAAATAAATATGCCTATAATTGTATTACAGACTGACTTTAGACAGTAGGAAAAAACTAGTATTTTTTTAACCTGATTTTTTTTTTTTTTTTTTTAGTTGAGACAATAAAGGGAAAAAGTTCAAAGCAGTATAGTTTAGAACTATTATGGTTTAGAATTTGCTTTTGCGACCTAACTAGGTGACAACCTTGTGGGGAAAAAATCATGGCACTTCTTATTGTGAGTTGTTATGAGTACTTGGCATGATGCCAACCTTGTAGAGATCCCTCAGGTTATGATTAATGTACAGCTAATTTTAGCAGTTTATTTCTCAGCACTAATGTCAAGCTACACTTTTATAGAGCAAAAAAGAATTTCATTGTGCATGTCTGTGGAGATTTGTCATTGAAAGGTTGCCTTGAAGGCTGAGTTTGATATGTGTTAAAAGATGTTTGTGCTTATAAGACAAAGCATCATACTCTTAAGTACTGACTTGTCACAAAGCTCATGAGCCCCTGGGAAACTTACCCATAAAATGCTCATTAGAGAAGCAATATGCCAGTTGCTCTGAAAATGTACATGTTCGGGTCCTGCAGAGCCGCATCTAGGAGCCCACCCTAAGGCAGGGGTTGCACAGATGCACAAAGATGTATGTGTTAGGATATTCAAGCCAGGACATTTAAAAAAATAATACTAAGTAGTTTAAAAAGTCTGTCCAACAATATAAGATGGGCTTAATGAAATTTTCTGCAGACATTATTAATGTAAATATTTTTACCATAATGAGGAGGTATCCATTAAATCCTATTAGTAGACAGCAGCTTCCCCAGAAATATGCATAGTATGAATATATATGTAGCCTAGTATAAAAAAAGTTAGAACTGTATGCATATGTGTGTGTGCAAAATTTGTGTGTATGTATTGGAGTGATATACACAACATAAATCTGGATTCATAAACACTGTGGTTTCCTTCAAGTAATTTTTTTGCCCTATGTATTTTCATATATTTCTTCAAGGAACATGTAGTTACTACTTAAGAAATAAAAAACAAGTAACAGATAAAACTAAAAAAAAAAAATAAGGCTGGTTGTACAAGGAACCCCCATTTCTACTTAGTAGCTGTGGACCCTATATTATCAAGTTGCCTTTGGCATATGAGCTAGATTATTATTCAAATAGAATTTTAGCCAGCTTTTGTTGTAACACAGTCTAAACGAAACTGAGCTGAATTAATATAGATAAGCACTTACCTGTAAGCCACACCTCTGCAAGCCGTATCATGATGTTACATACTCCCATAAACCCTTCTTTTAACACCCACACGTTGTGAGGCACCTCCTAACTAATCAAATCTCAGACAGCGTCTGCTCTTTAAGATTTATGATATTACAGGTGAAGTTTGGATTGAGATCACTTGGAAAAAATACCAGATTCTTGTGAAACCTTGTTTAATTTCTATTGTTTTGTGACAAGTGAATCAAGGATATCAATTACTTAATGTAATTTAATTTAATTTAGTTTTTAAATGATAAATTTTAGTTTTTTCTTGCTTCAAAGGTAGCTTTATCATTATTTAGCAATATTAAATTGCTGGGTTTCTTTCAGAAAGTGGTAAAATCCAGTGATGTAAGTGTATGATTCATTAAAAGGATTGTATACTACTTTAGGATTACATAGCTAGGTCTTTTCTGTAAATATATTATAATTTGCAAAATTTACAGTGATAGAAAGGTACTGTGAGCAGAAGGTTGAGTCCCTGCTTTTGTGTAGCATGACTTGATGTATCTGACAAATTCACTTAGATTTTATTCTGTGTTTTTTGTGAACCTCTGGTCACTTGAACAATCACTGTTTTTTAACCACATGAAGTAAAATTTCATATATGCTGCTATTTTTTTTTAATATCCATATTTGTGAAATTTTTTTATATTTAATATAGGTTTAACTGTGTTCGAAACTGGTCAGAAGAAAACAGAAAAGAGGAAAAAGTTCAAAGAAAATGATGCTTCTAATATTGACGGCTTCTTGGGACCATGGGCAAAATACGTGGATGAAAAAGATGCAGCCAGACCTTCAGAAGTAAGCCTTGGCGACCCCCTGGCCGTTGGGGGCAGCCCCATTACCGTGAAAGGAGGCTGTGTGACTGATCTTGAGGTTTTCTAGGACAACCAGATGACTAAGAAAATTTCTCTCCCTTGGTTGATTGAGAAAATACAGAAAGATTTCTTTGTTTTTCTTTCAGATGTTTTTATTTATATTTTTTCTTATTTATTTTCTTTCATACTTTTCTATTAAAATACAATATTGAACAATTTTTAATAAAAATCACCTTGATAATGCTGTTAAGTTACCATAGAGCTGTCCTTCTGATACCAGATATTCAGATAGTGACTATAAAATCAGCCTTTTAGGATTGATGGTGTATTTTATTTATTCATTTACTTAAGGATTTTAACAAGGTAATATATCTGTATTGTTTTGTAAAAAATAATACCATGAAGTTTATAAAGAAACCTGTACAGTCCTGCCCTGCCCCTCGCTGCCATCTGGTCCGCCACTCACTCTTCCGGGTCTGAGGGGTACAGCAGGGGGCAGGGTCGAGACACTCCTGTCTTCGTGGGGCTGGCATGCTGGCTGTGTCTCAGCTTATATGCATGTGCTGCACTTTACTTACACTTTAGACGTCATCTGCTGACCTCTGTGTCATCATAAAGATTTACCAATACCCACCTTCCCTGCGGTGCTTCTCCTATAAAAGCGATGTCACAAATCTGTAGTCGTCACTTCTGTCCTTATGACTATGTAGAAGCCGTTTACTGAACATTTATACTAAAATTCATTTTCCTTTCTGGTATTAGATTTTTCTAACTGCTTCATCTTTTTATGTGCATAATTAGCATAATATGTTAGATTTATTTCTAGGTTTCCAGAAGGATGGGTTTTGTATAAAATACCTTTAAAAGTATTAACTAGTGTATGCGTATGTTTATGTGCCATTTTGTACTCTGTCAAATAGCTGAGGTTGTTATCCAGGGCCACATACTTGCAGTTATTGCTTCACCAAAAAATAGAACTCGTTCTAAAGAATTCATAACCAACTTTGGGCATGATAGTGTTCTGGGGCACCCATTCCAGTGTTCACTCCTTGATTTCCTCAGGAAGAACAAAGAGAATTGGATGAAATCACAGCCAAGAGGCAGAAGAAAGGCAAACAGGAAGACGAGAGACCTGGGGACGAGAAGACGATCTTACATGGTGATGTATTTTTTATGCTTCTTTACTTTTCTGATAAGCTTTCAGATATTTACTGTGTTCTCTTCTATTCATACAGTATCAACTGCCTTTATTAATCGGTTGTTATAATTCATTTATTAGGAATAATTATATTGGGCAGTTTGCATCCCAAAGAAAGGAGAGCAAATTCTTCTCTGTTCTAATAAAGGAGAGAAAACAGCAGGATTAAACATAGCCCCAGATAATTTTTTGAAGTGCCAATGAATAAAAAAAAGGTAGATAAAGAAGAAACCAGAATGGTCCAAAATCTGTTCTTTCTGCAAAACAGACTCTTTGTGGTATATTAATACGGCCCTAGTTATTTTAACCTTTTGTTTTTAACCCAAGCCAAATATTCTCCAGATATCCTCACGGTTCATAACTGTTACTAAATTATACTTTAAACTTTGTTTTTCTCATGAATAGATTGGAGAAGATTATCATAATTTTGCTATGTGGAAGGAAATGCTTATTTAGGAAATACATTCCAAAATAAGTTATAAATATTCTCGAATGTACATGGTTCATTAATAGTTGTAACTGTGAAATTATTTAGTGATTATCAAATAATTCAGTCTTGGTAGTATTGCTTGTTCTGATGTTATATCACATATCAAGTATTCAGGTTGGCTCTCCAGTCTCCTGGGTACCGTGGGACTTGCAGCCATGCCAAGGGTAACAGCCAACATTTGTCACGTACTTTGTGCCAGGCTTGCTGCTAAATGCTGTATATGCACCGTGTCATTTACTTCCCACAAGTGACTTCATTGTAAAATTAGCCTTGAAAGTGGAAAAGAGAAGGAGCCCAGAAGCGCATAGAAGAGGAAAGAGGGAGAAGGATAGTTGACATTTCTGTCTAACTCTCCCCCTTGCCCTATTCTGCTTCTGATCTTTGACAGTGACTCACTAAGCCCATGTATAATTTTTTCTTCCCTCGCTGTGATTCCACCACATGAAGGCTCTTTTATGTATCACTGAAATGTGTAGCTGAGCGAAAGAAGTACAGATCTTATTAAAGGGTCCGATGTCGTCTGGGTATTTAGGAATTCCAAAATACTACCTCTAATTGTAAATAATAGCAGTGACTTCAGGCATGAACCTCGAGCGCAGTCTTGCTCTGAACACCATCAGTGTCATTGTCTGACCCTCGATGTGGAATGATGTCTCTCTCTATGAATAAAACATCTGTCATCCTTTTAAGGATAGAATTTCACGACCATAGCATGAGTCGTTCACTGCTTCCCTTTGCTTCCTTGTTTCAGTTAAAGAAATGTATGACTATCAAGGCAGGTCCTATCTCCACATCCCTCAGGACGTTGGTGTGAACCTGCGCTCGTCTGTGCCACCCGAGAAGTGCTACCTTCCCAAAAAGCAGATCCACGTGTGGTCCGGACACACAAAGGTAGCCCATGGGCTGTTCCTGCGCGTTGTGTGGTAGTGAAGCCGACATAAAGATCGAGCTGCCGGAGCGGGGCACTGGGAAGGTCTGGGAGAGGTGCAGGGAGGGCAGGTTAGAGCAGGGGGCAGGCTGGTGATGAGCCGGGGTGGGCTTTGGCTCTGCCCACACGCGGTCGTGGGCTGACCAGCCACGAAGGTCCCCTGGATCGGCCCTGATGCGGCATTCACAATTTGCTTCCTCACCCCGTAAGGTGGTTCCTGCCACAGTTGACTTCTCATGGGTTCCAGAGCCTCAGTAATTTTGCCTGAGCTCTTGGGGCTCCCAGAGAAGATGAGATGGTCTCTGGCTTACAGCTGTGGTGATACTTAAACCTTTGCAGAGGCAAGATATTGAATACTTTTCATGTTGATGTCCTTTGTCATCCGCACAATTCCAACTGAAGATTCGTGGCTCTTAGTCAAGAGCCAAGGGAGTAGCCGGGGCGGGGTGCTAGCAGCCAGGACCCAGGCTTCCCTTAGGCGAGGAGGTCAGTGCTGAGGTTCAGAGATAGACCGTCACAAGCTTAGAGTCTGTAGGCTGCTCTTGGAATGCTAGTGAAGGTTCATCTGGGGCATGATTTTGGAATGAAGAAAAACAGTGAATTAGGTTGTTTAAAAAACTGTCCTTTCCTAGTTAGCTGACTTTCATTCTAGCTGATTTCATAGACTGCTTCTGACTGTTGACTGACACCTTCTTACAGGGCGTCAGCGCCGTCAGACTGTTTCCTCTCTCTGGCCATCTGCTGCTCTCCTGCTCCATGGACTGTAAGATCAAGGTGAGCCGTCTGTCCGCCCCAGAGCAGGGCTGCAGAGCCGGAGGCTCCGCCCGGTCTGCCTGCGTGGTGCTAAGGCAGTTCGGCCTCCTTAGGCAATTAGAGGCTCTTTGTTTTCTTAGGCCCCAGGAGTGTCCAGTTTATGAGCTGCTCCCAAACACGCTGGTTCAGACACGGTCCTGTGGTCCCGTCAGCCAGGCCCTTTGTAAGCTTAGAGAACTGATGAGAATGTAATCAATCACATCGGCTTTAGATACTTAAATATTTACTCGCAATAGTGTGTTTTCATAGAGGTTTTGGGCACGTGATGGAGTTTGTGTGTTCCTTACCTAACTAGGTGACAACCTTGTGGGGAAAAAATCATGGCACTTCTTATTGTGAGTTGTTATGAGTACTTGGCATGATGCCAACCTTGTAGAGATCCCTCAGGTTATGATTAATGTACAGCTAATTTTAGCAGTTTATTTCTCAGCACTAATGTCAAGCTACACTTTTATAGAGCAAAAAAGAATTTCATTGTGCATGTCTGTGGAGATTTGTCATTGAAAGGTTGCCTTGAAGGCTGAGTTTGATATGTGTTAAAAGATGTTTGTGCTTATAAGACAAAGCATCATACTCTTAAGTACTGACTTGTCACAAAGCTCATGAGCCCCTGGGAAACTTACCCATAAAATGCTCATTAGAGAAGCAATATGCCGGTTGCTCTGAAAATGTACATGTTCGGGTCCTGCAGAGCCGCATCTAGGAGCCCACCCTAAGGCAGGGGTTGCACAGATGCACAAAGATGTATGTGTTAGGATATTCAAGCCAGGACATTTAAAAAAATAATACTAAGTAATTTAAAAAGTCTGTCCAACAATATAAGATGGGCTTAATGAAATTTTCTGCAGACATTATTAATATAAATATTTTTACCATAATGAGGAGGTATCCATTAAATCCTATTAGTAGACAGCAGCTTCCCCAGAAATATGCATAGTATGAATATATATGTAGCCTAGTATAAAAAAAGTTAGAACTGTATGCATATGTGTGTGTGCAAAATTTGTGTGTATGTATTGGAGTGATATACACAACATAAATCTGGATTCATAAACACTGTGGTTTCCTTCAAGTAATTTTTTTGCCCTATGTATTTTCATATATTTCTTCAAGGAACATGTAGTTACTACTTAAGAAATAAAAAACAGGTAACAGATAAAACTAAAAAAAAAAAAAATAAGGCTGGTTGTACAAGGAACCCCCATTTCTACTTAGTAGCTGTGGACCCTATATTATCAAGTTGCCTTTGGCATATGAGCTAGATTATTATTCAAATAGAATTTTAGCCAGCTTTTGTTGTAACACAGTCTAAACGAAACTGAGCTGAATTAATATAGATAAGCACTTACCTGTAAGTCACACCTCTGCAAGCCCTATCATGATGTTACATACTCCCATAAACCCTTCTTTTAACACCCACACATTCTGAGGCACCTCCTAACTAATCAAATCTCAGACAGCGTCTGCTCTTTAAGATTTATGATATTACAGGTGAAGTTTGGATTGAGATCACTTGGAAAAAATACCAGATTCTTGTGAAACCTTGTTTAATTTCTATTGTTTTATGACAAGTGAATCAAGGATATCAATTACTTAATGTAATTTAATTTAATTTAGTTTTTAAATGATAAATTTTAGTTTTTTCTTGCTTCAAAGGTAGCTTTATCATTATTTAGCAATATTAAATTGCTGGGTTTCTTTCAGAAAGTGGTAAAATCCAGTGATGTAAGTGTATGATTCATTAAAAGGATTGTATACTACTTTAGGATTACATAGCTAGGTCTTTTCTGTAAACATATTATAATTTGCAAAATTTACAGTGATAGAAAGGTACTGTGAGCAGAAGGTTGAGTCCCTGCTTTTGTGTAGCATGACTTGATGTATCTGACAAATTCACTTAGATTTTATTCTGTGTTTTTTGTGAACCTCTGGTCACTTGAACAATCACTGTTTTTTAACCACATGAAGTAAAATTTCATATATGCTGCTATTTTTTTTTAATATCCATATTTGTGAAATTTTTTTATATTTAATATAGGTTTAACTGTGTTCGAAACTGGTCAGAAGAAAACAGAAAAGAGGAAAAAGTTCAAAGAAAATGATGCTTCTAATATTGACGGCTTCTTGGGACCATGGGCAAAATACGTGGATGAAAAAGATGCAGCCAGACCTTCAGAAGTAAGCCTTGGCGACCCCCTGGCCGTTGGGGGCAGCCCCGTTACCGTGAAAGGAGGCTGTGTGACTGATCTTGAGGTTTTCTAGGACAACCAGATGACTAAGAAAATTTCTCTCCCTTGGTTGATTGAGAAAATACAGAAAGATTTCTTTGTTTTTCTTTCAGATGTTTTTATTTATATTTTTTCTTATTTATTTTCTTTCATACTTTTCTATTAAAATACAATATTGAACAATTTTTAATAAAAATCACCTTGATAATGCTGTTAAGTTACCATAGAGCTGTCCTTCTGATACCAGATATTCAGATAGTGACTATAAAATCAGCCTTTTAGGATTGATGGTGTATTTTATTTATTCATTTACTTAAGGATTTTAACAAGGTAATATATCTGTATTGTTTTGTAAAAAATAATACCATGAAGTTTATAAAGAAACCTGTACAGTCCTGCCCTGCCCCTCGCTGCCATCTGGTCCGCCACTCACTCTTCCGGGTCTGAGGGGTACAGCAGGGGGCAGGGTCGAGACACTCCTGTCTTCGTGGGGCTGGCATGCTGGCTGTGTCTCAGCTTATATGCATGTGCTGCACTTTACTTACACTTTAGACGTCATCTGCTGACCTCTGTGTCATCATAAAGATTTACCAATACCCACCTTCCCTGCGGTGCTTCTCCTATAAAAGCGATGTCACAAATCTGTAGTCGTCACTTCTGTCCTTATGACTATGTAGAAGCCGTTTACTGAACATTTATACTAAAATTCATTTTCCTTTCTGGTATTAGATTTTCTAACTGCTTCATCTTTTTATGTGCATAATTAGCATAATATGTTAGATTTATTTCTAGGTTTCCAGAAGGATGGGTTTTGTATAAAATACCTTTAAAAGTATTAACTAGTGTATGCGTATGTTTATGTGCCATTTTGTACTCTGTCAAATAGCTGAGGTTGTTATCCAGGGCCACATACTTGCAGTTATTGCTTCACCAAAAAATAGAACTCGTTCTAAAGAATTCATAACCAACTTTGGGCATGATAGTGTTCTGGAGCACCCATTCCAGTGTTCACTCCTTGACTTCCTCAGGAAGAACAAAGAGAATTGGATGAAATCACAGCCAAGAGGCAGAAGAAAGGCAAACAGGAAGACGAGAGACCTGGGGACGAGAAGACGATCTTACATGGTGATGTATTTTTTATGCTTCTTTACTTTTCTGATAAGCTTTCAGATATTTACTGTGTTCTCTTCTATTCATACAGTATCAACTGCCTTTATTAATCGGTTGTTATAATTCATTTATTAGGAATAATTATATTGGGCAGTTTGCATCCCAAAGAAAGGAGAGCAAATTCTTCTCTGTTCTAATAAAGGAGAGAAAACAGCAGGATTAAACATAGCCCCAGATAATTTTTTGAAGTGCCAATGAATAAAAAAAAGGTAGATAAAGAAGAAACCAGAATGTTCCACAATCTGTTCTTTCTGCAAAACAGACTCTTTGTGGTATATTAATACGGCCCTAGTTATTTTAACCTTTTGTTTTTAACCCAAGCCAAATATTCTCCAGATATCCTCACGGTTCATAACTGTTACTAAATTATTCTTTAAACTTTGTTTTTCTCATGAATAGATTGGAGAAGATTATCATAATTTTGCTATGTGGAAGGAAATGCTTATTTAGGAAATACATTCCAAAATAAGTTATAAATATTCTCGAATGTACATGGTTCATTAATAGTTGTAACTGTGAAATTATTTAGTGATTATCAAATAATTCAGTCTTGGTAGTATTGCTTGTTCTGATGTTATATCACATATCAAGTATTCAGGTTGGCTCTCCAGTCTCCTGGGTACCGTGGGACTTGCAGCCATGCCAAGGGTAACAGCCAACATTTGTCACGTACTTTGTGCCAGGCTTGCTGCTAAATGCTGTATATGCACCGTGTCATTTACTTCCCACAAGTGACTTCATTGTAAAATTAGCCTTGAAAGTGGAAAAGAGAAGGAGCCCAGAAGCGCATAGAAGAGGAAAGAGGGAGAAGGATAGTTGACATTTCTGTCTAACTCTCCCCCTTGCCCTATTCTGCTTCTGATCTTTGACAGTGACTCACTAAGCCCATGTATAATTTTTTCTTCCCTCGCTGTGATTCCACCACATGAAGGCTCTTTTATGTATCACTGAAATGTGTAGCTGAGCGAAAGAAGTACAGATCTTATTAAAGGGTCCGATGTCGTCTGGGTATTTAGGAATTCCAAAATACTACCTCTAATTGTAAATAATAGCAGTGACTTCAGGCATGAACCTCGAGCGCAGTCTTGCTCTGAACACCATCAGTGTCATTGTCTGACCCTCGATGTGGAATGATGTCTCTCTCTATGAATAAAACATCTGTCATCCTTTTAAGGATAGAATTTCACGACCATAGCATGAGTCGTTCACTGCTTCCCTTTGCTTCCTTGTTTCAGTTAAAGAAATGTATGACTATCAAGGCAGGTCCTATCTCCACATTCCTCAGGACGTTGGTGTGAACCTGCGCTCGTCTGTGCCACCCGAGAAGTGCTACCTTCCCAAAAAGCAGATCCACGTGTGGTCCGGACACACAAAGGTAGCCCATGGGCTGTTCCTGCGCGTTGTGTGGTAGTGAAGCCGACATAAAGATCGAGCTGCCGGAGCGGGGCACTGGGAAGGTCTGGGAGAGGTGCAGGGAGGGCAGGTTAGAGCAGGGGGCAGGCTGGTGATGAGCTGGGGTGGGCTTTGGCTCTGCCCACACGCGGTCGTGGGCTGACCAGCCACGAAGGTCCCCTGGATCGGCCCTGATGGGGCATTCACAATTTGCTTCCTCACCCCGTAAGGTGGTTCCTGCCACAGTTGACTTCTCATGGGTTCCAGAGCCTCAGTAATTTTGCCTGAGCTCTTGGGGCTCCCAGAGAAGATGAGATGGTCCCTGGCTTACAGCTGTGGTGATACTTAAACCTTTGCAGAGGCAAGATATTGAATACTTTTCATGTTGATGTCCTTTGTCATCCGCACAATTCCAACTGAAGATTCGTGGCTCTTAGTCAAGAGCCAAGGGAGTAGCCGGGGCGGGGTGCTAGCAGCCGGGACCCAGGCTTCCCTTGGGCGAGGAGGTCAGTGCTGAGGTTCAGAGATAGACCGTCACAAGCTTAGAGTCTGTAGGCTGCTCTTGGAATGCTAGTGAAGGTTCTTCTGGGGCATGATTTTGGAATGAAGAAAAACAGTGAATTAGGTTGTTTAAAAAACTGTCCTTTCCTAGTTAGCTGACTTTCATTCTAGCTGATTCATAGACTGCTTCTGACTGTTGACTGACACCTTCTTACAGGGCGTCAGCGCCGTCAGACTGTTTCCTCTCTCTGGCCATCTGCTGCTCTCCTGCTCCATGGACTGTAAGATCAAGGTGAGCCGTCTGTCCGCCCCAGAGCAGGGCTGCAGAGCCAGAGGCTCCGCCCGGTCTGCCTGCGTGGTGCTAAGGCAGTTCGGCCTCCTTAGGCAATTAGAGGCTCTTTGTTTTCTTAGGCCCCAGGAGTGTCCAGTTTATGAGCTGCTCCCAAACACGCTGGTTCAGACACGGTCCTGTGATCCCGTCAGCCAGGCCCTTTCTAAGCTTAGAGAACTGATGAGAATGTAATCAATCACATCGGCTTTAGATACTTAAATATTTACTCGCAATAGTGTGTTTTCATAGAGGTTTTGGGCACGTGATGGAGTTTGTGTGTTCCTCAGAACCTTAGGAAGTGGGGCGGGCCTGTGATGCAAACCTCATTTTTAGAGAGTAGATCACATGATTCATCCTTTTCCTGTAACTGTTAGTAGGCACCAAGTGGCAGAAATGCTCCCAGCCTCTTCCCCTACTTCATAGTCTTGGGAAGCTCCCCTTTTAGATGACGTCCAGCTATGGAGCATGATAGAAAGAGCTCAGGTGCCATTGCATGTCCACTTGAATCTGGGGAAAGCCTTTAAACACCTGAAAGAAGAGCTCTCACCTTCCGTGGGTCCTCCGTGCCGGGACCGTCAGGGTGGCCCATGATCATCAACCCTGCAGCACTCTTGGGGCTCGAAAAGTTGAGTCATTAAGACTGTTCTCTGTGAATAATTCACGGGTGTGACAGTCTGTAAAGGCAGCTTCTCTGATGAGACCGTTTAGGCATCCGTCTCTGCTTAAATGACAGCCAACGGTTTGGAGTAAAAACTGTTTCCTTTGACCTTCACTGTATCCAGTCTGTGCTAATTGAGATTCTTTGACCAATTATGAAACTGTAGAACTCAATTTAGTTCATTCCTATAAACATTTATTAGGTCCTATTATGAACAAGGAGTTGAGAATAAAAAATAATGAAGGTGCTGCCCCTGCCCTAGGGTGGTCGTGTCACTGTGACGGGAGTGGTTACATAGAGGCACAGGTGCGTGCTTTCCAGGAGAAAGCAAACCTCCATAGGAAGGAGGCGGTGGGGGCTCCGAGGGAGGAGAGTGTGTCTGAGAAGAGTGAACAGAATGAATCGGCATCGTATATGCTGAGAATTAAAGTCTGTGGTTTTTGGACTCTAGAATCTGAGAGGCACAGCATGCCTACATAGTCCAGGCGAAGGACCAGGCCCTGGGGGGCCTCCTGGTACGCTGTGGGCCTGAGACCCCACCCTGTTGGCCCTGGTTGGCCAGGAAATGCTTCCAATTTAGAGCACCGGCAACAGGGCAACGACTATATTTGCCGCAGGCAAGAACATAGGGAGCTTTGAAGCTATTGTATTGATTCACTAACGTGTTGAGAATTAATAGCCTGTTGATTTTTTAGTCTAGCTCATCATTTCATATAGCTTCTATAATGCTTACTACTTCAGGAAGTTCAAAAAAACCTTCCAGTACCAAAATGTTATAAACATGGCAGTTTTAATAACATTTAATTATTTTAAAGTAGTTCATAATATTATATAATTAGCTTTCCATAGTAGAAAATATGTCAACTATAGAAAAGAACAAGAAGAAAATGAAAATCACTTGTGTAAGTTCTCTTGATATTAGTATCCGATTTCAAAGTTGAGTGTGTGTGTGTGTGTGTGTGTGTGTGTGTGTGTGTGTGCGCGCACGCCAAATAGTAGCACACAGAGACCAGCACCAAGCAGTGTGTGTCGTGATATGTGGTGCCTTCGGCCGGTTTCCCTGACACACAGCCGTGTACACACACAGCTGGTATGTGACTGCTTTGGTGAATCAGAAGTTGCCATTTTGTCAGTCTTGTCTTGTATTAAACTTAAAATTTCTTTGTGTTGTTTTTTCCCCAGCTGTGGGAGGTTTATGGAGACAGGCGCTGTCTGCGAACATTTATTGGTAATACTTCTTTTCTCTCTGGCTATAAATCTGTTTGAAAAGACTTTTAAACTAAAACATTGACAGTAATCTTCCTACACTGACATGAAGGAACGTCTTCCTAGACTGCAGCTGGGTCAGGAGGGACCGAGTCTCCCCGTGCAGACCGAGAGCGGGCCAGGAGGGGAGCACCGGAAGCAGAGGCAGGGCCGGTGGAGACACGCTGCCCTGGGGGCCACGTGCGCTTAAGAATCCCTGGTGGGGAGGTGCGGGGAGGTGGCAGCGGAGGGACGCAGGCGCAGGCCAGTGCAGAGGCCCTTGTTCTGCTGTCAAGGCCGCTCTCGCCGTGCCAGGATGGAGCCGAAGCTGCCTGGAGACTCGGGAGGGCAGGAAAGCAGCATGTCAGATGGAAGCTTGCAGAGGTCACGGCGGCAGCGTGGAGGATGCCGTCGTGGACCGAGTGTGGCAGGAATGAAGTACAGCGTTGTTTCGTTGCTCTGCACTAAAGATACCGAGAGCCTGGACTCAAGCTGCGGAAACAGAGAGGAAAGGAACAGGGTTAAGGTCAGCGGGACTCGGTGACTGGATGTGAGGGATAAGAGTGAGGCAGGAGTGCAGGGTGATTTCCCGGCTAGATGGGCGGTGGGGCCAGAGAGGGAACTGACGGGATGGCGAGGTCAGACTCGTGGAGCCGGAGCCGCTGAGGCTGGTGAGATGAAAATGTCCGGACGGTGGGCCTCGAGGAGAGGTTGGGGGTCGGCAACTGAAGCCTGTAAAGGATGAGATGGCGCGAGCCCCTCCGAGGGAAGAAGGCCAAAAGGAGAATGGCTTTTTGGAAGACTGCCCTTTTGGTAGAGAATAGTTTCTTGTGTTTGCCAGGTTTCATGTGAAGGCTCGTTACTTCTCCAGATCTGACTGTACCACATTGAGACACTATTTGTGTGACTAGTAGTGGCTCTGTTTATAGATTGAAGTGGGAGTGTGTTCTGTGCTTTGTTACAATTTTAGGGCCTTGCTGCCCGGGCTCTCAGCAGTGTGTGGGGGGTCCCTGCCCTTTGCCCTGCACTGGCAGGTGGCTTTTCCATGGCAAACGTGGCATGTCCTGCCTCAGAAGGGGCAGCTCTGCCTGGGACACCTGCCGTGGCCCCTGCTGCCTGACTCGAGCTCTGGGGTGGGCGTCAGGGCTGCTGTGTGCAGCTGGCACCCTTGGGCTCTCTGGGCTCGGTCATGGTGGGGTGGTAGGAAATAGGAAAGTTTCTGCTTCCATGTAGCCACGTCTTGTCTCCGTGACTTTCTGAGGAATTGTTTGGTCTGGTAGGACTAATTTCCAAGTAAAGCACTTAAAATTGATGTATTGTCAAAATGATACCTTAAAAGAGAAGTTAATGTTTGTTTCGAAAAGACTTAGTCTCTGTGATTCTTAATCCACTTCCATGAAATTTGGCAATGTGATCACAAAAACGTGCAGTTATTGAACAAGAGCTGTCACCTCCGAGCCTTAGGTGAGGGCCGCTTTGGTTTCCCTACATGTCACCAGTTGCTTCTAGCTCACCGGCAACACCCGGCCCGTTGTTCTCCTCGGGCCCTTGGCGGGGTGGCTGCCAGCCGTGTGTGTGACTGCGAAGAGTTGCCATGACAAAGCTTCGTTTTTAATGCTGGATCTCTATTCTGGGTTCCTACATAAATGTCATGCATCAGAATCACCTGAGGAACTTTTTGACGGGGCAGTGGGGGGAATGCACCTGCATTCCCAGGCCCACACGTTGTGCAGATTCTGAGCCAGTAAGTTGGGGTGGGGCTGCAGTCCCTCCAACTCCCTGCGCAGTTTGAAACCCACTGCTCAGTGATTTTCTCAGGGTGGCGAGGCTTTGTGGGAAGACGCCTGCCCTCATTTGCATTTCTGTTGTCTCCGCCCCTAGGCCACAGCAAAGCTGTCAGGGACATCTGCTTTAGCACAGCAGGGACGCAGTTCCTCAGTGCAGCTTATGACAGGTACCTGAAGCTCTGGGACACTGAGACAGGTGAGCATCCTGCACGTGTCTGTTGCACGAATGGGCTCTTGCAAGTGGAAAAGTGTGGGTGGCCTTCTGGGCCAGAGGCGCCTCCTGCAGCTGCGGGTGGTCACGCCACTGACTAGGGGCTGGTGTCACGAAGTGTCTTAAGTTGGCACACAGCTAGGTAGGTAGCTTGTTCACATTTGTTCCCAATAAACACAATTCATAAAGCAAACACACCGATAGACGAGCACATTCGAAATATTCCATAGACTGTTCGGTTGGTCTTCTTGTTCCCCTACGTCCCCTGTCAAACTGCATTGCACATAATAGCACCGTGAATGTCTGATGGACTGAATTGAATTTTATTGCCCAGTTGACTCAAACGTAGGTCTAAACTTCCATGGGCCAGTTGGTTTCATATATTCAGACATGTTAATTGCATGAGTACATTGTGGCTAGTATTTTATTTAATAGAGAACCATCTTGCATTTTACTGAGTTATAAGGGTAAAGATAATAGCTAGTATTTATTAAACACCTGCTGTTTACCAGGCATTGTACTAATAATTAGTGCTTAAATGGTTATCTCATTCAATCCTTAAAATATCCCTGTAAGATAAGTACTGTTGTTACGATAGAGGAACCTGAGGCTTACAGAGGACACTTTTCCAGGGTCATTCAGCCGGTCAGTGGCCACACTGGGTTCGAACCAGGGTCTCTGTAATGCCAGAGCCGAGCTCTTCACCTCTTGAACAGTGGTTCTCTTCCCTGGCTGCGTGTCCTGATCACCTGGAGAGCTTTATCTGTTCTGCAGCTGATGACACAGACTTACTTCTGAAAAAGCTTTCATTATAAATCACTTAAAATATGTGAAAAGGAACAATAGCGTCAACGGTAAAAAATAAGCAGGTTTTCTTTCCTCAAAATTTACTAGCAGATGACCTCTAGATCTTAATCCCAGGGTCGTCTTTAAGTGGTCAGATTCATTTCACCTACTTTAACTTGGGTGTCTGGTTCTAGGACAATGTGTATCCAGATTTACAAACCGAAAAGTGCCTTACTGTGTCAAGTTCAATCCCGATGAAGACAAGCAAAATCTCTTTGTGGCTGGGATGTCTGACAAGAAGATAGTGCAGGTAAGGCTTTTCAGGGAAGTCCAGTGGAATTACGTGGCCTGGTTGCATCAGAATGGAATAAGCAGTGATGTCTCTGATGTTGCTGCTCTTAGGGACTGTTGGTGGTCTGTTCTTAGTGGAAAGCAGCAAATTCATAAAAACATGATGTTGGGGATCTCGTGCTTCTCCACCTCCTGTGATTATGACCTTTGTTTGCATAAACTGCTCCATTTCTATCTTTACCTTTTCTCTTGTTTGATGAACAGTGGGACATCCGAAGTGGAGAAATCGTGCAGGAATATGACCGGCATTTGGGGGCTGTCAACACCATCGTCTTTGTCGATGAGAACAGGAGGTTCGTGAGCACGTCTGACGACAAGAGCCTCCGAGTGTGGGAATGGTGAGTTTCTGTCAGCAGAAAGTCTGGTTTATATAAAGCAAGCCATTGAAAGAAGCCTGATCGTATGTGGCCACCGGAATATTCTCGCATCTCTGATGTCTGGCTTGCCCACTGAACTGTTTTAACTCTTGAAGTGCCCAGAATATGGGAATAAAAATTTAAACATGCTGCCTTTCTTGGGCTTTGGATGGCCTTTCTAAAGGACATGTTTGTTGAGTTATTTGTCATCCATGGTGAAAAGTTTATATCATGCTGTCTTGCATTATTTTATTGTATTTTTTGCTCATCTTTTCAAAGTCACTGGTGAGAAGCAGGAGGCACAAATGTACAGACTGTGTCAGTCACCCTCGGGGTTGAGTATGCGATCCCGAACTCAGAGCCGGCCCAAAGAAGACTGAAAAATCCCGTAACTTTTTAAATGTCTACATTATGATTATTTAATACTGAAAACCACCCCATGTCATCACGCTTGTAGCCTGCCATCTGTAGCCCATAGTGGTAGAAAACAAATGTAATTGGAATATGTTGGCTAATCTTGTTTTCACAGAGAGAAAAAAAAACACTTTTGTAAGTCAAGAAATACTAGTGCTAGTTTCACCTCATTACCATAGATCATATTTTATAATTTATCCACAAAGAAATGCATAATAATGTTTTGGTTAAAATGAATGTTTGGCTGGAGCCCAGCCTGTTCTTACAGGCATTTCTGAGGCCAAGCTCAGCCGCAGCTGCGGCCTGTCCAGGAGAGTGTGTCCCCCACCCCTGAAGCCGTCCTGAGGGGGGAGCCTTGAGCTGCGGCCAGTAGTTTCCTCCTGCATTTGAGCCCCTTTGGGGAGCCGGGCAGGTCCCTGACCATGGTCAGGAAACGTGGGCCATTGAAGATTTGGGTGACTTAACAACAGTTTCTCCCACACTTAGCACGTCATCCCTTCAGGTTGCCCCCAGTTAACAGAGTTGACTATACCTTATATGTAGTCTTAATGTCACCCCAAAAGACCATGATTTGAAACCATCTTATAACTAAGGTCTTTCTTACCTCAGAAATGTTACACGCAGAGAATCTGATACGGGCACCAAATTTTACATGAGCCCCCTTAGACCATTTGCATAATACTCCAGAAAATAAATACACTTATACTTGTTTTGTTTACATATGTTTGACAGATTGATTATACTTCAATTTTTGGATGTTTCTATCTTATGATATTCCAGCTCCATTTTAAAATGTGGAATAAAAGAAACGTAAATTATGCATCAGTTACAGGGCTTTAAGAAAATATGTGTGTTTTCTAAATTAGAGCATCGGTCTGCAAAGTATTTTGATTAAATTAAGGGGTGATGTTAGCATGTTGTTTTTCCGTTTCAGAGCGTAAGAAATAGTCTTAAGAGCCACAGTGCTGTCTCGTTGTAAATGACGGCACCCTTTACCCTTCAGATCAGTCCTCGCCTGCCATTGGCGCCTTCCCACCAGCCCTCACGTGAGGCGCCTCTTCTCCGTCACGCCCTCAGCTTCTTAGTGCCCCTCTTCCTGGCAGGCTCCTAAACTTAGGAGAAGGAACTGAGGGTTGGGCTCTCCCTCTGTCCCCAGCACCCGTACAGCGCCCTGCACGTAGCACACACTCAATGTCTCAGGAGGTCATGATTGTCATAGTCATTAATGATGCTGTGTTTATGGAACTTGCTCTGTGTGCGGGGCGTGCTCAGCATCTTACATGAACTCTCTCAATTTAATGTGCAAAAGCAGGCTTTGGAGACAGGCATGTTTACCCTCCCATTTTGTAGGTGAGGAGACTAAGAAAGGTTGTACATGCTTCAGTTTCTATCTTTCTCTCTCTGTATGTGCCACAGGTTTTTGCTATGTAGGTACCAACAGGCTTACATGGAACATCCGGAGCTTGAGTTCTTAGTCACATGGGTGCCTTGTCCTGTGAATGAAGGGTCTGGTGGGGAGAGAAGACAACTTGTAGCCAGTTTGATTGTCCGAAAGCAATGGATGGGAGGCGGGGTCTTGCTGCAAAGAAGAGTAGGGGGCGGAACACCTCCGGCCCCCGCCGCCCCCGCCATCCTTGAAAGCAGTTCTCGGGATCCTGGCAGCTGGCCTGGGAGCGGGAGGGAGGCCCTGCGCACCCCGTGGGGCCCACCCCGGCAGGAGGAGGGTCGTCGCCCCCGGGGCCTCCCAGCAGGGCCTCGGCCCACCTCTGTGCCCTGTGCCTGCCCAGAGAGAGGACACACACCGAAGGAAGCTGTGCAAACTAAGGCAGTTGTAGAGGAGAATGAGAATCCAGTTAGGTACCGAGAGGTCTGGGGCATTCTGTCGGCTAAATTCATGAGATGTCATAGACATGTTTTTTCCCAAAAGTATTTATTTATTTTTACAGGTTGACACTACCGTTTACATTTTATCTTTAAATCTTACAGGCTTTTGTTTGTTTTGCCAATGATTTTTTAATTCCCGAATGAAAATTATTTGTAAGATATAGTTACTAGCTTATTATATTGAATTACAATTTGTAATTAGCAAATACTGTTGTGTTTATCAGTGATGCCTAGCAGACGTTTTTACGAGCAGTAGTGAATTCCACAAAGTGTTGGGACTCGTTTCTGTTCCAGACTTACTATGCCAGGAATTGTTCAAAGAAGGGATCTGTTTAAATCTTTTTGTTTTCCTTGCAGTAAAACATTGACTGATGTGCCCCTGGACTATGGTTAATTTAATTTAGCAAATGCTCTTAGATTTTAATCCATGTTGTAAAATTATTAGCCACTAATAATAATTACAAGGAGGAAGAAAATGTTGAACCTTTTTCAGATTGAGGCTCTTTTCAGTACATTTGGGTCATTCTGAATGTCAGCCTCATCGGTACTGTGGAGGTAGCTAGGGCTGGGAATTTAATAAATGATACTGTCCCCAGGTTGTTCCTGAAAATGTTTTCCTCTGACCAAGACTCTGGTAGTTTTTTAAAATGCATGGATTCATAAGATGGATAGAGAAAAATCTCTACTTAAAAGCACATTATTATTGGAGTTGTTACTATTATTGCTATTACTGTTTTCCAGTTATTCAAAGTCTTGGAACTTGAACCATAGTTTGAAATTGAAAGTGCTCCATTATATTATGTTATTCATCAGGTTACATTTCCTACCCATCACCCTGTAAAAAATACTTCTGTCCTCTCATGAAATACCACAAGCCCAAAATCCTTCAGAATTACTCAAGAATTTTTTTATCACAGAGAATATTAAAAATGAGAAGGCACTTAGAACTTTTGACGGATCTAGATTTAGGTGACCAGTTGCAGGTTTTTGTTGTTTTTGTTTTATCCTTTGTATCATTCACTTGAGAGTTTTTTAAGTGCTTTTTCTTCCACACCATACACATTTGGAATACTTTGCACATAAACAAAAAATAAAAGGTGCCCAGGTACGAGCGCGTACTCTCCCCCGCCCGTCAGAAGCCGCCCTGCCCTCGGATCCCGCAGCCTCGCCGGCGCCCCTGGTGCCGCTGGGGGCTCTCCAGACCCGCCCATGGCAGACCGACAAGCCAGGGCGGCCTGGCAGGTAGGACGAGGGCACTCCCGGGAGCTTGCCTCAGACGTCGTCCGCCTACCTCAGTACATAGTCAGATGACTTCACTATTGAAGAACTTTAGTAGCAGGACTTTTTTTAACATAAATGCCAAAGTTTAAATAGAGTTAGAAACCCAAAGCAGTGCCACCGACAATCGTCAGGAAGTTTCTTTTGAAGCAAAGGATTCATAATAAGGAGCGGGACGCCGCTCTGGTCTCCCTCCTCCAGGAAGTCCCGTGAAAGATTCAAGTTGAGAATGTCACGAGTATCTCTTGTTTCAGAGGTGGCTCCTCTGAAGGTCTCTTCAGACTCGCTCCTGATGCCTGGTCTCGTTTTCAGGGATATCCCTGTGGATTTCAAGTACATAGCGGAGCCCAGCATGCACTCGATGCCTGCAGTGACCTTGTCTCCAAACGGTGAGTCGGCGGACGGACGGTGCCTCAGATGCGCCTCTGCCACCCGGGCGAGTTCTGTGCCCGGAGGGGCTCCGGCCCTTTCCCTCCTGGGGGCCTCGCAGTCCCACGCTTGTATAAGGCAACCTTCCCAGCGTCAGAAATAACCACTGGTTTTCCTATGTGAGTCACAACACCCTTTCTCTTGCTTTTTAAAAAAGTAAAAAAAGAAACTGATTTGCAACTGACGTTAGCTAAGAATCTACTTCCATCTGAGAACTGGTTTTGTTTTAATAATTCTCCTTCCAACAGAACGTGTTCAACAAGTCATTTAGTGATTTCCTGTGAACTCCTTTCAGGGGATGGGAAATCTCGATCCGACTCACCATGCTGAGCACACCTCCCCAGTGCATGGCACAGGATTTTCTCAGACAAAAATAAGAAAGCTCTATTTAAAGCTGTTTTCTGTGCAGTGACACTTGCCTTGTAAGCACAAGGTAGTTTGTGCTGCAGACACTGACGGCAGCCTGTGGACATAGGCACAGCTCCACGTGAGGGTTACCGAGGAGGGTCTGGTGTGTGGCAGCTCTGTACACAGCCCCTGGGAGTGTGGAGCACGGAAGGGACAGAGCTGGCTCTTCTGTGGAGACATCTGCCACAGGCGAACCGTGATGCGTCTTGTCAAGAAGAGCACCCTCACTGGGTCCTGGTTTGGTAGTCACCATAGTGTGTACTCTGTCACGCGTCCCTGTGCATCTGCAGCTCGGGGAGTGTGCCTCAGACCACGCGTCACAAGCAGCGTGCCTCTGCTGAGCACGGCCGTTGAGCCGCACGGCCTGTGGGCACCGGTAGGGCCATTCGCTCAGCTCACAGGGTCTGCGGTTCATCAGGTGTGGGAAGGGAAGACGCTGCAGTGGGGGCGCCAGGGCTCTGGGGAATCCCGGGTAGATAGAGGCGCTGCGGCCTTTCAAAAACAGTTACTATCTTTTTTTAATCATATCTTTTTTTCTGAATAATCCTAGGTTTTCTTACCTAGAGTCAATCTTTCTTTTTTCCATAATTAACGTAGGTGCATCTCTTCCTCCCTATGGTTCTTCTGTCTTCCATTCTACAAACCAATTGCATTTCATAAAATTTTAGTTTAGGGCTATTAACGCTGAACTCAGAATTTCTTTTTATCCTTAAATAAAAATAGCTTTTATATGGAGGGTGCTCGATGGTATAGGATTGTATGAGAAAAATCCGTTACTTTATATGTAAATGCCTCTTGCCAGTGGCAAATTTGTAACACTTTACTGGTATGTTGAGTTCATTTTCCTTTTATTATATAGTAGTTGAGAACAAAAGAATGTATTTGAAATAAAAGGTCTTTTAAGCTTTTCAGCCTTTCTCTAAAATATCTTACTTATTGAATTTACAGGGAAATGGCTAGCATGCCAATCAATGGACAATCAAATCTTGATTTTTGGAGCACAAAACAGATTTAGATTAAATAAGAAAAAAATCTTTAAGGGCCATATGGTAGCAGGCTATGCTTGTCAGGTGGACTTCTCCCCAGACATGAGGTAAGTTTGATTCTCATGTATTTTCACAGTCACACGTGATGACATAAACTGCTGTGCAAATAACTCCACTTTTAAAGTCACTTTCCTGTGTGCAGTGATTGTATGAGAATGTGCAGATTGTCAAAATGCCAGGTAAAAAAGCAGGACAAGTCATGAAAACTACATTTGCTTTCTGAGTCCTTCAGTAGCTCTCCTTCTGTGGCCTTTAACAGATGGTGAGTCCCTGTGTGTATAGTCGGGGCCCTGTTTCTCCTCTGCCTCTCTAGCAAGCAGGCTGGGAGGGCTGTGGTCCCCGTACGATGTGACTGGGTGACCACCAGAGGAACTCCTTCTGGGCCGCGCTGTTGAAGTTCATGGCTTCACTACAGCTTTCCGGTGCTGAGGCCTCAAATCCAGGTGCAGAGTATTTCTGGGCAACACCAGGTTTGTGAGACCTGGAGCCTTTTTGTGAGTGAACCTCTGCATTCATTCCCCCATTCTTAGCTAGACTGTACGGGTGCAGGTGATTCAGAAATCCCTGTGACCAGGTGTGTTTTGCTTGATAATTGGGCCTCAGGCTCCTACTTCTGAGTCAGGCTTAGACATATTCAAAAGACCCTGGAGCCAGAAAGTGATTCTAAAGTGGCCGAGTCTACTACAGTAGGATGGGTCCCAGTATGTTCACTGGCTCTGTCTGGTGCTGGTCCCCCTATACTGCTCTGACCATCTAGAGAGTGATTGTGATACAGCATTCGTTGTGGCTCTGGGTCTCCCCGTTTTCTAAGTTAAAGGTGATTTTTTACTTGGGTTGGTAGTGCAGGGGGCCTTCTCCATAGATGTGTATAGACTGCTTTATGCTCAGCCTCGCTCCAAGCGTGGGATGCTCACATTGCCTTTTTTATGTTTCCGTTCTCTGTGCCGTATCCACTACTAGTTTAAGGTGTTTGAATAATTTGAATTCATTTTTCTTTCCCTTGTAGCTATGTGATTTCAGGAGATGGAAATGGAAAATTAAACATCTGGGACTGGAAGACTACCAAGCTCTACAGTCGGTTCAAAGCCCACGATAAAGTGTGCGTGGGTGCAGTGTGGCACCCTCACGAGACGTCCAAAGTCATCACATGCGGCTGGGACGGGCTCATCAAGCTGTGGGATTAGTGAGATTAATCCTTAAACATCTAGGATCATTTTTGATCCCATATCCTATTTAACTATATTTAATTATTAAATGTGTTTGAGTGACAACTCGATTTACAAATTATGATTTCTTACATGACCTTGTGAGGTTAGCCCATTGTTTAAAAAAAAGTTTTGGAAATTTGGCTCATATAATTTCATTGCCAGCTTTGTTTTATTCTTCACAGATGATGTTTGTTCAGGGAATGACCCTTGACTTCTATTTGACAAGTAGCTGCTGCCGGCAGGCAGTTTGGGTTTACCCCCAGGATGGAGTGAGGGGACCCCTTTGGAGTCGCGAAGGCGTCCCTAGTGGATCTGGGATTCTAAAGGGGGGTGTAATTACTGGCAGGCAACTCAGAAAGGTACCATATACGCCGTCCTGCCCACAGACAGGAGACGAGGAGCGGGGACGATATAACCACACGACTGGAGGAAGGGGGAGCCGCGCACAGTCACCGTCATGTTGTTTTCCGCGGGTCGGTTCTGACCTTCTGGGTGAAGTTCCGCTGTTTCTGCGGCATGTGGCGCACATTCAGCTGTGAGTCGGCGGTCTTCTCTGGCCACAGCTGTCCTCTAACCATTAAACATTGCCCCCAAAACACCAGGCCAGTTCCTGCCTTGACATTCTTCTGGTCAGTAGACAGGACTACATATAACCAGAGAATTACTTTATTTTTGAAGATAGAACGCGAGAGAATGAGTCAAGACCTTAAGTTTTATTTGTATTTCCTGTCAGTAAGGACCTGGCTACTTTGAGAAATCAGTCCCTTGGGCCGTTGCTTCACAGATGTCACTACTGAAATCCTCCTCACGGGACACGGTATGAGGGCATACAGCCCAGAACGTCACCCTGTAGTTTCTCTGAAGTTGTATGTTTTTACCTTTAAAAGTATTCTGATTTTGCTTGTGAATATATTCAACAGAACCTTTTAAGATTTGGAAAAGTTCAGCTTCTTTCCATGTCTTTGAGTGAAGTTGACACTCGAGAAAAACGGCCAGGATTCCCCAGTCTGAGAAGCAGTGACTGGGTGATTCATAAAGTTTAAAAACTTCAGATTGTGAAATCAAGATAACCTTTTGAATAAGTAGCTAATAGCACTTTAGTTTGATGAGCCGTTTCCCCTCTTTTATTACAAATCTGTATCAGATGTTTGAAATGTTTCGGTACCACTCCAAAAAGGTGGGCTCACGGGTGCTCAGCCTGCTGACTTGGAGACCAAAATCGTGTTGAGTGCTGGCGCCCCAAGGGCCTGAGCTTGGAGTCCTGTGCTCCTTGCACTTAAACTTCTTTTATTTTAAATCAAAATTTGAAAAGGCCTGGTATAGATGACCAGACGCTACCACCAAGTCATAAGTGCATTTCAAAGAGAAAATGGGAGAAAGGAATGAAAGTGGTAGAAATGTATTTTTGGACACACGGCACTCGAAGAAGTAGAATACACCGCTTAGCCGCCGCTGTGGCCCGAAGGGGGGAGATAGTTCTGTTCTTTAGTCCCAACCACTGGCTCTGACGAATGTGAACCACTGAGGCATGATGGGATGAAAAGGATCGATCATGCATTTAGACTGTCTTGTTCAGCACCAGTGCAGTGTACGTTACAGATCATAATTTCTAAATCTGGGTTTATTTTATTGTGTTTTTGACTGTTTCTAAACTAAGTAACTGTATATAAAAGTTGTCTCTTTTTTAAAAAGATCGTATTTTTAAATAAAGCATTTTTTCGTAGAAAGTGTCATCAAGGTTTTCATTCTTAGTCTCCTTTTAAGTCTTAACTCTGGTTGAGACACCAAATTTGACCATTTGCAGATTTTAAATGGGTCATTTTGATGAAATGATGTTTTGAGGCGGGCACAGAATATTAAAATGGCATGTTAATGGTTTTATCAACCTAATAGCAACACAGGGCACGCCCCCAGCACACACAGGGCAGGGTGACGGCTCCGTGCGCGCTCACCTGGCAGCACCGACTCACGAGTGCACCCTTCCAGAGCCCACCAAGGGGCAGGGCTCCCATCCCGTGGGAGAGGCTCGAGGTCACGCACCAGAATCAGCTGGCCACCGGGGCTCCTTCCCTCACTGTGGCCATCTTGTCACACCCACAGCCAATTCCTGAAACAGATGCTTCAGTGAAGGTTTAATGGAAAGAATGTTTAGATATTGAAACACACACTGAGAATGTTTGCTGCTAAGTAAGGAGACAGTTTCAAGGCAGGGAGCAGGGGTGGCACCAGCGGGTGCTGTGGTGCAGCGAGGCTCCGATGACGCACTGTGGTGCTGGCAGGATCCCGGCATGCTGATCAATGCCCTGGAAAAGGCAAGTGACTGGAAAAGGGGTGCCGGCCTTCAGGCTGCAGCACCAGCAGTAGACACGGGCCCCCTCTTGCTGTTTCCCGCAGTGTGCACAGAACCTCCGCACAGGGTCACCTGGAGATGGCGTCACCGACGGGGGCAGAACAGAAGAACACAGAAGCTAGCTGGGGAGCCGTACGAGGTCAGGAATGGGGGAGGGAAGCAGAAAGAGCTACCTGGGTCGGGATCATCCATCTGAGGTACTAAACTTGGGTCTCAGTGAGATGTAGGAACATTGATGGTGTATTTCACCAAAAATGCGTTTTCCACCACCTGACATCTCTGAAATAGGGCTTGTCTTAGCGGTGTGTCGTAGCTCAGTCGGCAACACTGTCGCTGGATCATAAAATAAGTGATGAAATCCAGTATAAGAAAGTGGTACTAAGGAGCCTAAGAAGGCGACGATCCAGTGGAAGGAAGGTTCTGTCACAGCACTCGGCTCAAAATTCATGTTACCAAGTGTGTATTTGATCAATGGGTAAATAAAATGAACTAACAGAAGATGACACATTAGGAAATACATATTCATCCACTGGGTCACAATCAGCACTTCTGTCCAGGCCCTCAGACCAGCGACGTGCGCAGTCACCCGGGTGCTGAAGGAGCTGTGCTGCTTCAGACATGAACTCAGAAGCTGAGCTAACCCAAAATGTGTGTTCGTGTGTGTACATTACATATGTTTGTGAATGTGTGTATACATTTTATATGTCTGCATGTACGCTTTCCATGATCATAGTCACTTAGTTGTAGAAATGACTTTCTCACCTCAACATTGCAGTTCTATCTGGAGGTATGTTGTTCCGTCAAGTATAATAATCTGTGGAAATGAGGCCTTCGTTTTTAATCTGGTGGAAACACAACGAGGCTGGCACCTGCTGGTCATCCAAGCTTTGCAAAAGCCAAACACCCAAAACCTAGAAAGTAAATGCAGATCTTGTACTGTGTTCACTATATATTAAAACCTTATAGTCAAGGCAGAAATGCTTACATAAATAACTGATAAGGAATAAACACTGCAAATTCATGAATTTACCTTTGTTTCCCTCTGGATGTGAATGTCCTCCCCAGCTCGCTTCACTTGAACCATCAAATAGTTACAAGTATTACATGATAACTTATTATAACTGCATCAAATAGAAACACCTCTAAAAACGAAGAACTTTAATCGCAAATTGTTGCACAGTTCGTCCTAAAAGGTGACCTCTGAATCTCTTACATCTTCATCTTTCACCTAAAGGAAAACAGGTTTTTTTAATCATTTGGTAAGAGCATTACTAAGTTTGTATTTTCAGACCCAGCTATGAACAGGGCTGTGGTGAGAGTAATTAAGAGGGTGAATCAGATACTCCCTGAGTTCCTGTGTTCCGTCTGTGCCAAGGGGAACCCACCTGCCCTCCAGACCGTGCCCTTCTAGACCCAAGGCAAAGCGCTGTCACGGGGATGACCAGGGCCAAGATCACTTCCAGGAGTCTTCCTGGCAACCTGGAGACGCTAACAGAGAAGTTGAATCCCCGTATTTTTCCGGGAAGCTTTCACTTGGCCAACATATTTTAGTTAAGTGCCTTGTTCAAACTAAGCCTAACAGATTTGCAGGTCTGGGTTTAGTACATTGTAGTTTTTCCCCTGACTGCTGCCAGGGAGGCCAGAATGTGTCCCCCGAAAGGAGCACCTCATTTCTCAGAGGCCCCTGGGGCGGCCCCACCACTGGCCGGGCATGGGCTCCGGGAGCTGACTGACTGCCCCCCACCTACTGGACGATCTGAGCAAGTCAGAGCTCACTTGCACAACTGGGGGGCTGCGCTGGCAGGCTGGCGGGAGGAGGAGGAATTGTTTGCACCCGGCGCTGGGCGCACAGGGAGCTCGGGCGGTGGCCGGTTGTTTGCATTTTGCTTGTGTTGCTCTTGTGGCTGTTATGGGATGGTGGTTATGGGGTGGTTATGGGCATGGTTGTTCTGCCTGCCCTTACAAGCAGGGTCTCCCCAAGCAGCAGCACTGGGAACACCTAGACCCCGTCTCATAGCCCAGGCCAGTAGTTCTCCAGGGGGCGAGGGGATGCTGGGCGCTGTGTGGAGACCTGTCTGGCGGAGGCAGAGGAGGCGGTGGAGAGGTGCTCCCGGCACCTGGTTGGGGGCGGAGGGGCCAGGGCAGGGGCTAAACATCCCACACGCGCAGAGCAGACCTCCAGCCCCCCACAAAGAGCTGTCCAGCCTGCAGGGGCCACAGTGCTGACATGGTAGCATGACCCGTCCCAGAGGCAGAGAAGCCACATCACGGAACCCCAACTGTCTGTCAAGGGGGTGCAGGGCAGTCTTAGAAATAAGCAAAGTACAAATAACTACTGAACAGGCTGCCAGTAGGTGGGTGTGGGTGGGTGTGTTTGTGATTTATTCTGAGTTTGTCTTTTTTTCTTAACAGTACACCCATTCTTGCTGCAGATACGTATAGCGCGATGAGGTCCGCGCTCTGCACCACCCACCAGGAGTGAGCGGCGCCTCGCCCTGTACGAAGGGCTTTCCACGCTGCCATGAAGCTTCAATTGTGGACAGTGCATGTGTAGTTTTCCTGCTCCTTAGGATGTAAAAAGTGTCATAAAATATACTTCATTTATAATAAAATAACAGATTTGTTCATTTTTATACTATTTATCTTAAATAGGATTTTTGAAAATCATTTGTAGGAGTAAATTCTAATTCTGAAGATAGAAATGATAGAGATCATTTGAGCTATTGAGAACCTGTATTTTCTGTTTAATTTTTTTTTTATGTAAAAGGATTGTTACTACTGAGTATTGTGCGACCATCCCTCGGGGTGAGCGACCCCGGCCCTCAGACCGCATGCATGTAACACATGCCAACCGGCAGTAAGGAAAAACTCCATCTTTGAGCTAATGTATGAAAATAAAAAAGATTGACAGCCTAGGCAAGTCTTTGTTGGAGAAATCACGTTGGAAGTCAGAAGAGGCAACGATCCAGACACCGAAATTCCGCTTTGTGCTCAGTTTCAGAGGAACAGAAGGGGGTTTAGGGCCGAGTACGAACAGTCCCGGCTGAAGCTCTTGGTGATGTAGGCTTTTAAATGCAGCGGCCTGATGTGGTGTCAGAGTTCCCAGAAGCCAGGATCAGTGGCTCTTACAAGACCACAGCCTGGCATCAGCAAAGCCCACTGACATCCCCACGGCTGTGGAGGGTGTTGCTGACACGGCAAACAGGAGAAACGTTGACAGAGATGAGTTAGATGCAAATGGCGGCCCTGTTTTAAACATCAGGCTACAAACCCAAGAATCTCACTGACCCAGTAAATGCGGAAAATGCATATCATTTCTTTACCATGTTGGTGAATTCATTGATGATAGATATAAAATGAATTTTAGAGAATGCTGAGATAAGGGGGAGATTATCTTCCAAATTAAAAAGAAGGGCGAGTACCCCCACCCTGCCAGGGGAAAGAGGCAAAGAGCCTGGATCTGGGCAGGGGCGGCTGGCTGCCAGTGCACCTCTGTGTTGTCCCTTCAACAAGTGCTGACTGTGCCCCACCGCACGGCAGGCGCCCGGTGCACGCGCCACAAAAGCAGCGTAAGTCCCCCTCAAGCAGTTGACAGGCCAGTGGGAAACTGGACAGCAAACCAGTAACTAGAATCAGGGACGTACTACATTCTGCAAGTATTTCCATGAGTTCTGGGGGCCATCCTGCACCCTCCTTCCATCCTGTGTTTTTCATCCAACTCGGAGTTTAACAGCTGCTTGTGTTGAAAATGTCTCTCTTCAGGAACAGCTGAGGTTTAGATGAGTCTTTGTAACTATGAGAAAACCTGAGATCCTTTGGCCCTGATTCTCGGAGGAGCCACTGCAGCCACTGCCACGGACCTCGAGCCCGGGCCAGGGGAGACGGCTCTCAAAAACGAGCTTGTTCAGGGACATCTTCCCCAGTGAGATCTCCCAAAGCTTTCCATTCTGCACTCTCCGGATCTGCTCCGAGAACACCAATCTGTAGCAAAATGATGAAGTGAGGTGCGCAGATCCAATAAACGCTATTACAGGCATCCCTTGATTACCTCCCAAGAGAGAATTTTAGAGTCAGAGCTCTTTTTCAAAAGGCCCTCACTTCCGCCATGAATCTCTAACCTCCCTCCACACCAGACACGAACATCAGGTAACGAGCGGCCAGCACATAAGGGGACTTCCTGCTTCCTGCCCAGCGGGAGTGGGTGCCGAGGAGATGGTGGGCACGCGTATCACAGCACTCCATGCCCACAGCCGCCCCCCAGGGCCCCATCCACTGCTCAGGGGAGCCCAGCCACGTCCTGACAGAGTGCTGGCCTGTGGGGGCACTGCCGGAGGCCATCGCCTGCAGGCACCACCTCACGAGCTGCCCTGCCAACTT